ACCTGTTGAGTTCTTCTTCTCCATGGCTCCAAATGGTGAAGGTGTCATCCACATATCTGAACCATATCTGAACAACAAGATGAGTCCACAGCAGACACTCTGCTGGCTGTTGTATTGGATCCCACGCCGGACCCTTCCCAAGTGTCTAGGACTGTGTGATTTATTATTATTATTATTATTATTATTATTATTATTATGGATGCAAAGGTGCATCTACACTGCAGAATTAATGCAGTTTGACACCACTTTGCCATCATTCAATACAGAATCATCATGTAGTAATGAGTAACTGAAGCCTCAGTGATTTTAAGGAGTTTATTCTAAGTGTGACTTTATGCTGCAGTTGACTCTAATCAGGAACTAACACAGGATTCAGGTCATGAATTCCAATATTTGTTTTCAAGGAAAGAATGCCATTTACAGCAAAATACATGACATGCATTTTGAATGCTGCAGTGGAAATCATATCATAGATCAGCATGTATTTTATCTGTCTGAAAAGCCAGAAGAGTCACAGATCTCACCCAATGCTAAGCCTATATTTCTCCCAGTATAGCTGCCAAGGAAAGAAACATAAAACTATAATCCAATTGTTCTGTAAATCAACTGCTGCCCTCTAGTGTGCATAAGCCTTTGTATTAAGTGTTTTGTTATTTGACAGAAGTAGTATACAACATATTGTAAGAATAATACAACAATAAAATAAATAAAAATAAACCCAAGGAAGCCTTCAAAAGGTGACCTGCAGTTTAAAGCAGTAGAGTTTGCTCTACTCCCAGCTTGTTCTATGTTGGTATTGTTGGAGCATGTAAGGAATCAGTGAGTGTGTGTGTGTGAACTATAAAATAAGATGCATGAAGCTGATTGGTCTGGCAATGCCTGGGGAGATGGCTGAGCCTGGGACATTTGGTTAATGTTACATTTTTGTTCAGGCTTGAGTTATGCAGGTACAGAGGGAGAAGAAAAGAGAAGCAGAGAGAAAGTTTGGAGGGTGCTCTCGCTTCATGGGTCGCTGAAGGAGTGTATCCACATGGACAAAGAAAGACCATTTTAAATCTATATAAATAAAACTGTAATGTTCATTTACAGTTATATTCAGATAGGTAAGTTGGACCAAAACCGTTCATATATTTATATATTTATATTACATACAATATTAATAATAATATTACAATATAATGATATATGTAATATTATAAATATATACGAATTGACACCAAATTTGGACAGAATACACCTATCAGGCCAACGAGTGACCATCATTCATAAAAACACTGAAAAACACAACGGATAATACTTAAAAAGCCAAAAAAATACATTACAACACATGCGCACAACCACATATATACATGCACATATATACAACCACATATATATATGCAAACACACACACAAGTCAAACACATATATATATACACACTAAACACATACACTGTCTGGGCCACAGCAACGCGTGGCAGGGGTCGGCTAGTATCTCATAAAAGGACATTATGTGAGTTGATGCAATTGATCACATTGTACATATGTTGTTCTGAGCTATGAAGAGTAAACTACTTGTTCTTTATTGTTCATCTGCATGGCATATTTTCTTTCTCTGGTAAGGCAGTGTTTGGGCTGATCAAACGTGAACTACACGTGGTTTATTTTACATTACGCCACAGATATGGGTGTATCTACACTGTAGAATGAATGCAGTTTGAAATCACTTTAACTGCTAAGGCTCAATGCTATCAAACCATGGGATGTGTAGTTTGGAGAGGCACCATCACTCTTTCACAGTGAAGGCTAGAGACCTTGTAAAACTACAGCCTCCTAGGATTCCATAGCATTGTGCCAGTTAAAGTGGTATCAAACTACATTAATTCTACAGTGTAGTTTACAACTGTGATTAGATATTAGATTAAATAGGAATATTCCACTTACCTGTCTCTGGTGGTTTTCCCTTTGCTTTTTACCATGGAGGAGAAGGTAGGAATTGGGCGCTTGTTTTGACACTCCCAAAGTGTGTTTGTTCTTTTCTATAAAGTTTTTTTCAGACCTGTGTTGACACTCTTTAACTTGGGAAGAAAAGCTGTCACTCTGTGTACTAGGATTGCGGCGGTAATGGCGAACAACCACTTTTTCTTTATTAAATAGTCCATAAGATTCTTCCCTGGCACTCGTAGCATACTCATGAGAATCTGAGCTATCCCTATCTAAATTAGACGGAAACGTTTGAGGTCGGTCCTGTAGTTGGTTATTTGGGTGCAAAAACCTGAGCTGAGAAGGACTGGGTGAACCTTCTTCATCTGTGGTGTGCGAGTGGTCTAACTCAGCCAAGCTGTTCTCCTCTTTGTTATTCCTCCAGTTGGGATTGTAACGCAATTCGGAGTATTGGTCTACCATTCCCTCTTTGCTAGGAAAAAAAGGAACAAAGGGGAAAAAAACGTTAGAGTTCAGAGGTATATAACTACATGTACTTATGCAAGGCATTTGGTTTTCAATTGTTAGACTGATACCCTGGTTGTCTCTTATCAGTTAGGAACAGAGAATATGCCAATGCACAAAACAGCAGAGTTTCAGAAGTGTTCTTTTCCATGCCCAAAAACATCTAAAGGTAAAGGTAAATATTGTCCCCTGACATTAAGTCCAGTTGAATCAGACTCAGGGGGTTGGTGCTCATCTCAATTTCTAAGGCGAAGATCCGGCATTGTCCATAGACACCTCCAAGGTCATGTGGCTGGCATGACTGCAGGGAGCATCGTCTATTCTCTCATAAAATATCTTGTTTCTATATCATGCTCTCAAGCGACAGAAAGTAAACATGGTTAAAAATAACATATCTTCTTTACTCACATGTGAGTAGATCAATAGGTACCTCTCTGGAAGGTAACGGCGTTCCATGCAGTCATGCCGGCCATATGACCTTGGAGGTGTCTATGGACAATGCTGGCTCTTCGGCTTAGAAATGGAGATGAGCACCACACCCCAGAGTCAGACATGGCTGGACATAATGTCAGGGGAAAACCTTTACCTACAACTCCCAAATGACAAAACCAATCCACCCTCCCCCCCAACCCCACCAGTATTCAAATTTGGGTGTATCGGGTAATTGTGCCAAATTTGGTTGGGGGTCACCACAACATGAGGAAGTGCATTAAGGGGTCACGGCATTAGGAAGGTTGAGAACTACTGGTATAGAGCTTTACAGGTCAAAACCAGAACTTTGAATTGGGCTCGGAGATGGACCAGCAGCCAGTGGAGCTGGCATAGCAGGGAGGTGGTATGCTCCCTGTATGCTGCCCCAGTTAGTAATCTGGCTGATATGCATGCAGAAGAGCTATTCTGAAGTGCCAGAAACAGGTCACAATGAACTGGAAACAATGCTATGGCTTGAAACAGCAGGATGCGATCCTGGGAGAGGCACATTGCATGGAAACCCAAGTGCAAGGCACAATGTGTGGGTCAACCCCATGACTCCAGATGGGGATGACAGACAACTCCATCTCCAAAGCAACTGCAAGGAAATAGGGGCCCACTCCCCCTTTGTCCACCGAATAGGGGTTCCCCTTTAAATCCTTGGTTCTGAAGCAGAGGCACACAGCGAGACTCCTAGGCATATGGTATACTTGTCACTGTTAATGGACTCCATTTGAGTACATACTGTGATAATGTGAAAGTACATAAAATCAAATTTCCATTGAATGAAAAGCGTGGCGCTCGGTTAGAATAGAATCCCGCCCACCTCCCTCCGCTAAAACCAGAGTGTGTTTCCTGTACAATTAAAACCCTTTCCCTTTTGAAATACTAATGATAATTTTTGAAAAAAATGGTCAATAACCAGCCACTTTGCCCATCGAGGAGGCAAACCAAAGTGCACTATTAATAAATTTAGCCCTCTTTTCTTTTCGCCACGTTCTGCTCCGAAAGGGGACCATTAAACGGAATGTGTTTATCGTTTTTTAATTCAGGCTTAATTTAATCCTTTTAAACAAACAATTATTTCGCATTGATGCGGCCTCAACACTCCGGCAAACGCAACAAATCCAATTCCGGCGTGCGCAGGGCCGGGGGAATTAATGCACCGCTCCAAGCGAGCGAGGAAGACAAAACAACCACTCTGGATTATATGTGTATATATAGAAAAGAGAATACATAACTCTTCCATTTATGCAGTTATTGAATGAAAAGGGACAGCTATTCCATTGGCGCTTTCCCAAATGGTAGCTTTTTCCAGCTACATTTAAAAACCTCTCGAAAGCTGCAGAGTACTTACTAGAAATCAATGGAGCTTGTGTCCATTTATAGCTATTCGTTCCCTACTCTGCCCATGTAACCTCTTACAAGCCGTTGGTTGGCATTGTCCGGCCAAAAAGAGGAAAATAAGAACTTTACTCAGAAATAAAAGGAGGGCAGTGTGGGTTTCCAAGCCATTACAAGAGAGAAGCAAACTTCAAAAAACAAAGTCAAATACTAAAACTAAAAGACACGAAGGATACACCTCTAGTAGCCAAATTTCTTATGACTCTTAAGATGTTTTCGTTGGAGCTTGCCAGTCACTCTGTGAGTGTGTCAACTGTAAAAATAAGATGCATCAAGCTGATTGGTTGAGCTAATTTAGATCTCTCATAGGGTGCTCACTAATGCTTCCTCTTCATCTTGGAAAGAAGTGACAAGTGGAGTGTCGCAGGGTTCCGTCCTGGGCCCGGTCCTGTTCAACATCTTTATTAATGACTTAGATGAAGGGCTAGAAGGCATGATCATCAAGTTTGCAGATGACACCAAATTGGGAGGGACAGCCAATACTCCAGAGGACAGGAGCAGGATTCAAAATGATCTTGACAGATTAGAGAGATGAATGGCCAAAACTAACAAAATGAAGTTCAACAGGGACAAATGCAAGATACTCCACTTTGGCAGGAAAAACGAAATGCAAAGATACAAAATGGGGGACGATGATGCCTGGCTCGAGAGCAGTATGTGAAAAAGATCTTGGAGTCCTCGTGGACAACAAGTTAAACATGAGCCATCAATGTGATGTGGCGGCAAAAAAAGCCAATGGGATTTTGGCCTGCATCAATAGGAGCATAGTGTCTAGATCTAGGGAAGTCATGCTACCCCTCTATTCCTGCTTTGGTTAGACCACACCTGGAATATTGTGTCCAATTCTGGGCACCACAATTGAAGAGAGATATTGACAAGCTGGAAGGTGTCCAGAGGAGGGCGACTAAAATGATCAAGGGTCTGGAGAACAAGCCCTATGAGGAGCGGCTTAAGGAGCTGGGCATGTTTAGCCTGAAGAAGAGAAGGCTGAGAGGAGATATGATAGCCATGTATAAATATGTGAGAGGAAGCCACAGGGAGGAGGGGGCAAGCTTGTTTTCTGCTTCCCTGGAGACTAGGACGCAATGGAACAATGGCTTCAAACTACAAGACAGGAGATTCCATCTGAACATGAGGAAGAACTTCCTGACTGTGAGAGCCGTTCAGCAGTGGAACTCTCTGCCCCGGAGTGTGGTGGAGGCTCCTTCTTTGGAAGCTTTTAAACAGAGGCTGGATGGCCATCTGTCAGGGGTGATTTGAATGCAATATTCCTGCTTCTTGGCAGGGGGTAGGACTGGATGGCCCATGAGGTCTCTTCCAACTCTTTGATTCTATGATTCTATGGCCTCCTGGTGCAGCTGATCACATTGTACATATATTGTTCTGAACTAAGAAGAGTAAACTACTTGTTCTTTATTGTGGATTTCTCTACCGATGGCAGATTTCCTGTTATCTCACCCCCATTCTTAGCTATGAGTCATTTGTAAGTCGAATGTTTGTAACTCTGGGCCTGCCTGTTGTATCAAACTGCATTCTTTCTACCATGTAGATGCATCTTTTCCACTTCTCCATGTTTGTATGTTATAGAACAGGCCATTTACCTTGCATTGAGACCATCTTCCTTCCCATTTGGACTTGGTGTTTCTTCTGTATCTGGTTCCCTTCCTTCTTCTACCTCCAAACTGTCCTCCTCCAAACTGTCATCTTCTTCCAAGCTGTCTCCATTGTCTTGGTCCACCAGCTTCTCTGTCTGATGGATCCGTTCCTGGAGCTCAAACTGGTACTCGATTTCTTGAGCGAGGCTTTCCGAGTCGGATTCATTCTGCGATAGCCCTTCCGACGCCGTTTGCAGAAAGGAGTAGTGGACGTGGGGCTGGACCAACCCTTTAGGTGATGGCTTGCTTGTATTCATGCTGGACAGAAGATCGAAAACAATTAGCAAAACACACTCGGTGAAGGACATGACCTTTCTTTTCCATAGGTGCACCTACACTATAGAATTAATGCATTCTGACATCACTTTAACCACTATGGCTCAATGCTAAGGAATCATAGGAGTTGTAGTTTGGGGAAATGACCAGCACTCTTTGGCATTGAAGAGTCAAGACTTTGTAAGACTACAAATTCCATAGCTTTGAGTTATGGTGGTTAAAGTGGGGTAAAACATACAATCTGGATTATATAGCAGTGTGGAAGGGACATATAACCCAGAATATCAAGGCAGATAATCCACAAGTTCTGCTTTGAACTGGGTTATCAGAGTCAACACTGCCATAAAATCCAGTTCAATGTGGATTTTATACAGCTGTGTGGAAGGGGCTATACTAAAAAATCAATACTAAACAAACAATACTAAACTATACAATACTAAAAAATCATACCACAAGTAAATTAAAACCATAAAACATATAAATATCAAAATAGAATTAAACAAATATATTTAAATACCTAGTTAGTTACACTTTTGGTCCAAATCGTAAGCATTTGGGAGAAGGCATATCCACACTGTATAAGATAAAGCAATAACCAGACCAATGGAAACATAGCTTATATTCTACTTTATTTCTTTATTGCATCCATACAATAAAGATAGTTTTAATGACATATTGTAAACTTCAATTTCATGCCTATTTTTTGTTTGTGTATTGTGATCTGTATGTAAAAGATGTGTTTTTAAATGATTATGTGTTTTGACTGTGTGTTATAACAATGTTCTAATCTGCCTCAACCCATGAGGAGTTGAAGCAGATTATTACCGTTATCATTATTGTTTTACTAGCCATCTCTTGACATGCATTGCTGTGGCACAGTCTGTGTATATGTGTTTTGTGTATGCATATATGCATATATGTGTGTGTATATATGTGGGTTTGTGTATATATGTGGTTTTGTGCATACGTTGTAATGCAATTTTTTTGCACACACATATACATACTCACAAAACAGTCTCTTCTGTTGTGTTTTTCAGTGTTTTTATGAGTGATGGTCACTTGTTGGCCTGATAGGTGTCTTGTGTCCAAATCTGGTGTCAATTCGTCCAGTGGTTTTTGAGTTATGTTAATCTCACAAACAAACATCACATTTTTATTTATACAGATTATACAGGCAGCTGATAACTTTTATTTAAAAAGAAATAAAACACAAAATATACAAATAATAATTTTAAAGTCAAGCTATGCACTCCTGTAGAAACGTATATATAATTATAATTGTGTGTGTGTGTGTGTGTATATATATATATATCCCTGTTATCTTTCAAGATCCAGTTGAAGACCTACCTGTTCAAGCAAGATTTTGACGAATGAATTCAATTGCTAATGACACAAAGGTTGATTTGCACCGAGCTTAGCAAAATATACTAATTGTAATTGGTTTAAAATGTTTTTGATGATTAATGTTTATTTATATCTTATTTCTGGACGTTATCATACTTTGTGTGATTTTTGTCTTTTATTTTATGTTAAATGTGCTTTGATTTGTATTGCATTATGTTGTGAACCACTTTGGGTCCCATTCAGGAGAAGTAAAGATATATATGAGATTGGTTATGATTCCACTATGAGACGAAGCGGATTTTTAGGGTAGTTTTTGTAATTGTTATGTAGTTTATATGCTGTTGTAATTGCCTTTTGTAAATTGTCTTTTATATGTGTGTACACCGCCATGAGTCGCCCTAAGGGCTGAGAATGGCGGTTAATAAATGCATCAAATAAATAAATAAATAAATATAGATATAAGTGTGTGTGTGTGTGTATATATATATATTTTGTGGGTGAATTGACACAAAATTTTGACACAATACACCTAACAATACACCTAACAGTCCAACAAGTGTCTATCACTCCTAAAAACACCCTCCCCCCAGCAGAATGGACTTGTTGTTATTCATTCGTTCAGTCGTCTCGTGACCTCATGGACCAGTCCACGCCAGAGCTCCCTGTCGGCCGTCACCACCCCCAGTTCCTTCAAGGTCAGTCCAGTCACTTCAAGGATGCCATCCATCCATCTTGCCCTTGGTTGGCCCCTCTTCCTTTTACCTTCCACTTTCCCCAGCATAGAATGGACTTAAAACCCCTCAAAATACATCATATATAAAATACACATACATTCATATACATACATGCACACACATATATACATATACATACTCATACACATATACCTATACACATGCATACACAAATATACACATATACATGCACACATATATACACACATATATGCATATACACATACACACATGTATGCATATACATGAGCACACACATATACACAATATACATAGAATCATAGAATCATAGAACCTGTGGAACTCACTCCCGGGGGAAATCAGGGCATCATCATCCCTCCTCGCCTTTAGGAGAAGGGTGAAGACTTGGTTATGGGACCAGGCCTTTGGGCACTCCGGCAATTAAATCAGACAACCAGGCGAGTAAGACCAGCAGGATTGATGAAGTGGAACGTAAAACTAGATCTATGAGTAGCGAACGCTGACCATGTAAGAGGAGAAATTGGGTTTGTATTTGGTTTTATTGATTTTATGGTTATAATGTATATTTGGTGTTAACTGTGTATTGATGTAATTTTGTGTTTGATTGTTTTTATGATGCAGGCATCAAATTGTGCCTTGCTTTTGTAAGCCGCCCTGAGTCCCCTTCGGGGTGAGAAGGGCGGGGTAAAAGAACCCCAAATAAATAAATAAATAAATAATCAAAGAGTTGGAAGAGACCTCATGGGCCATCCAGTCCAACCCCCTGCCAAGAAGCAGGAATATTGCATTCAAATCACCCCTGACAGATGGCCATCCAGCCTCTGTTTAAAAGCTTCCAAAGAAGGAGCCTCTAGCACACTCCGGGGCAAAGAGTTCCACTGCTGAACGGCTCTCACAGTCAGGAAGTTCTTCCTAATGTTCAGATGGAATCTCCTTTCTTGTAGTTTGAAGCCATTGTTCCGCGTCCTAGTCTCCAGGGAAGCAGAAAACAAGCTTGCTCCCTCCTCCTGTGGCTTCCTCTCACATATTTATACATGGGTATCATATCTCCTCTCAGCCTTCTCTTCTTCAGGCTAAACATGCCCAGCTCCTTAAGCCGCTCCTCATAGGGCTTGTTCTCCAGACCCTTGATCATTTTAGTCGCCCTCCTCTGGACACATTCCAGCTTGTCAATCTCTCTCTTGAATTGTGGTGCCCAGAATTGGACACAATATTCCAGGTGTGGTCTAACCAAAGTGGAATAGAGGGGTAGCATTACTTCCCTAGATCTAGACACTATGCTCCTATTGATGCAGGCCAAAATCCCATTGGCTTTTTTTCCTGCCACATCACATTGTTGGCTCATGTTTAACTTGTTGTCCACGAGGACTCCAAGATCTTTTTCACACGTACTGCTCTCAAGCCAGGCATTGTCCCCCATTCTGTATCTTTGCATTTCGCTTTTTCTGCCTAAGTGGAGTATCTTGCATTTGAACTTCATTTTGTTAGTTTTGGCCCATCTCTCTAATCTGTCAAGATCGTTTTGAATCTGCTCCTGTCCTCTGGAGTATTGGCTATCCCTCCCAATTTGGTGTCGTCTGCAAACTTGATGATCATGCCTTCTAACCCTTCATCTAAGTCAGGGGTCCTCAAACCTTTTAAACAGAGGGCCAGGTCACAGTCCCTCAAACTGTTGGAGGGCCGGATTATAATTTGAAAAAAACATGAATAAATTCCCATGCACACTGCACACATCTTATTTGTAGTGCAAAAAACACTTAAAAACAATAAAATAATTAAAGTGAAGAACAATTTTAACAAATATAAACTTATTAGTATTTCAATGGGAAGTGTGGGCCTGCTTTTGGCTGATGAGATAGGATTGTTGTTGTTGTTGTGTGCTTTCAAGTCATTTCAGACTTAGGTTGACCCTGAGCGAGGGCTGGGTAAATGACCTTGGAGGGCCGCATCCGGCCCCCGGGCCTTAGTTTGAGGACCCCTGATCTAAGTCATTAATAAAGATGTTGAACAGGACCGGGCCCAGGACGGAACCCTGCGGCATTCCGCTCGTCACTTCTTTCCAGGATGAAGAGGAAGCATTGGTGAGCACCCTCTGGGTTCGTCCATTTAACCAATTACAGATCCACCTCACCGTAGTTTTGCCTAGCCCACATTGGACTAGTTTCCTTGCCAGAAGGTCATGGGGGACCTTGTCGAAGGCCTTACTGAAATCCAGGTACGCTACATCCACGGCATTCCCCGCATCTACCCAGCTTGTAACTCTATCGACAAAAGAGATCAGATTAGTCTGGCATGACTTGTTTTTGATAAATCCATGTTGACTATTAGCGATGACCGCATTTGTTTCTAAGTGTTTGCAGACCGCTTCCTTAACAATCTTTTCCAGAATCTTGCCTGGTATCGACGTGAGGCTGACCGGACGGTAGTTGTTTGGGTCATCCTTTTTTCCCTTCTTGAAGATTGGGACCACATTGGCCCTCCTCCAATCTGCTGGAACTTCTCCCGTTCTCCAAGAACTCTCAAAGATGGTTGCCAATGGTTCCGAAATGACTTCCGCTAGTTCCTTCAGTACTCTTGGGTGTAGTTGATCTGGCCCTGGGGACTTGAACTCATTTAGAGCGGCCAAGTATTCCTGGATGACTTGTTTCCCAATTTGGGGTTGGATGTCCTCAAATCCCTCATCCACTCCGTCTTGCTAAGGTTGAAGATGACTTTCTTTATGTGAGAAGACCGAGGCAAAGAAGGCATTAAGTAGTTCTGCCTTTTATTTATTTATTTATTTATTTATTTATTTATTTATACACTTGTATACCGCTAATATCTCAGCCTAAGTCGGCGACTCATTGCGGTTTACAACAATTAAAAAACAATCTTCAATTTAAAACATACAACACATACAATATCAATTATTGGGCCACCAATAATAATCCCATGCATCTCGAACTAAAATCACAATCCAAAATTCGTTGTCCATGATTACCTGTCCTTTAGTCACCAGAATTCGATTGCAACGGATTAGCCGAATGCTTGTTTAAACAACCATGTTTTCAATCTCTTCCTAAACACCATCAGCGAAGAAGCTGATCGTACCTCTATAGGGAGGGTGTTCCAAAGCCGGGGGGCCCCCACAGAGAAGGCCCTATCTCTCGTTCCCGCCAGCCGCACTTCTGAAGCTGGAGGGATAGAGAGAAGGGACTCTCCGGAAGATCTTAGGGTCCTGGTGGGCTGATAGGCTGAGATACGTTCGGATAGATAAGTTGGGCCAGAACCGTTTAGGGCTTTAAAGGCCAACACCAGCACTTTGAATTGAGCCCGGTAGCATAGCATTGCCCCATCTTCTCCTCGAAGAGGCCCTATCGCCTCCTTGTTTTTCCTTTTTCCCATATACACATCTAAACACACAAATGCACAAATATATATATACACATGTATACACACACACACATATATATACGCACACACATATATACACCCACACACATATACAGATATATATATATATACACACACACACATTGATTTTAGAGACTTAAATGTGTCATTTGGCCTTCTGTGTTATAGAGAGACTGAGGCAAAACGCAGTCCAAATGAGACATAAAGGAAATATGCAGAATTCAGGAAACCAAATGACCTCCAAGATCACATTGGGAGAAGAAGGGACACTTTCTCCACCATTTCATGCTTTTCATGGATTCCATACAGGCAGAAATTCAGAAGGAGAAAGCACTTCATATGTTGATTTTTTTTTTTTTTTGCATTTTAAAGGCATTTAATCCTGCTAGGAAAAGAAATGCAATCTCCTCAACTCTCAAAAAAGAAGCACAGGTCCCCAAACACCCTCTTCTGCCTCCTTTCCCCACTTAATGCCACTTTCCCCCCTTTCTGCTCCCTTTTGATTACCTTTTCCTGCAAGTTACGCCAAGCGCTATTCACAGAGCGGCTCTGCGCCTCCCCTCTGCGCCGCTAGCGTAGCGTCTCCATAGCAACGATACACAGAAACGGAACTCTCCCCCCTCCCTTTTGCGCATTCTCGCCTCCATTCTGTTTTTGAGGGGAACCTACCAACTCTCCGAAATAAAGAGGGGGGGGGAGCGGCGAGGGGATGTATTGATTTAACGTGTTATTTCCATCAATTGTATAAAATAAAAATACAGAAATAATTATAAATAGAAAAGGATTTTAAAAATGCGAGAAGTTTATTGTTAGCTTTCCCCTTTCGCTCGGCGCGAAATGGTACATTCCGGTCCCTATTGAAACAGCCAGCTGATTGGAGGCAATCAGCTGGAAGGCAATGTAAACAAGGCTAATCTGAGTTTGCTGGGAAGGAAAGACTGTTATTGTCTGTACCTCTCTATACTACAATTGAATGATTAAATCAATCAATCAATCAATCAATCAAATAACCAACCAATTAATTACATAATCAATCGAATAATAAATCAATTACCTAATCAATCAGTTGCATAATTAATCAATTCAATAATAATCAGTTACATAACAAATCAATTACCTAATCAGTCAATTACATAATTAATCAATTCAATTATCAGTCAATTACATAATAAATCAATTACCTAATCAATCAACCAATTACATAATTAATCAATTCAATAATCAGTCAATTACATAATAAATCAATTACCTAAGCAATCAATCAGTTACATAATTAATCAATTCAATAATCAATCAATTACATAATCAATCAATTACCTAATCAATCAATTACACAACTAATCAATTCAATAATCAATCAGTTAATTGCACAATTCATCAAGCACTCAAGCAATTAAATAATTACACAATTAATTGCATAATTAAAAATAATTACATAATTAACTAAATAACCAATTAATTAAATAATTATCCAATTATTTGCATAATTAATCAAATAATGAAATAATTGCATAATCAATTAAATGACCAATTAAATAATCACTCAATTACATAATTGATCAATCAATTACACAATTGATCAATCAATTCAATAATCAATCAATTCATTGCACAATTCATCAGTCACTCAAGCAATTAAATATTTAATTAGACAATTAATTGCATAATTAAAAACAATGAATTGATTGCAGTTAACTAAATAACCAATTAATTAAATAATCAATTACACTATTATTTGCATAATTAATCAAATAATGAAATAATTGCATAACCAATTAAACAATCATTCAATTACATAACTGATCAATCAATTACACAATTGATCAATCAATTCAATAATCAATCAATTCATTGCATGAAATAATCATTCAATTAATTAAATAATTGATTTTTAAAAATAAACAAAAAACAGGCTTCTGGAGTCCGGTGCCCCCCCTCTCCATGGTTTGACTCCAACTCCCATCATCCGTTGACTTCTAGAGGTCCCATGAATTTCATAGGATTTTCTTAGATGGTTTGCCATGGCATTCCCCTCTCTATCTAATCGATTAGGCATGTGTGATCGATTAAAAACATGTTTCAAATGTCATTACAAAATTAGGAGGCACCGGCATTTTGTTTCTAAATTGTTTCTAAAGTACCACTAGTAAAACTTTCGTTACCATATGACAGTAATAAAATATCATTACTTTTCTGTTCCAGAAATTGCGCAAGTGGGGAAGCTTTAGAGCAGTGGTTCTCAACCTGGGGTCCCCAGATGTTTTTGGCCTTCAACTCCCAGAAATCCTAACAGCTGGTAAACTGGCTGGGATTTCTGGGAGTTGTAAGCCAAAAACATCTGGGGATCCCAGGTGGAGAACCACTGCTTTAGAGGCTCCTTTCTCCCTCATTTGTACAGCCATTGGGGTGAAACCTGCTACAATGGTAGGACACATTTACCACTGTTAGCCCATCGCGTTTCAGAATGTTTCACTTATCCATGGATTTTTGGGAAATTTTCAAAGTTTTTATAAATAATTTTGAAAAAAGAAAACAACTATGCAATTTTCTTTTTGTTGTGTCAGGAGCGACTTGAGAAACTGCAAGTCGCTTCTGGTGTGAGGGAATTGGCCATCTGCAAGGACGTTTCCCAGGGGATGCCTGGATGATTTGATGTTTTTATCATCTTCGTGGGAGGCTTCTCTCATGTCCCCGCTTGAGGAGCTGGAGCTGACAGAGGGAGCTCATCCGCCTCTCCCCAGATTCGAACCTGTGACCTGTTGGTCTTCAGTCCTGCCAGCACAGGGGTTTAACCCACTGCTCCACCGGGGGCTCCTAACTATGCAATGATACAAGATAACAGGGGATCATTCAGCCCAACTTTCAGAAATATTCATACATCTACTAATTTTAGGGAATTTTGTAAAGTTTTGACAAAAACTATTTTTTTAAAAAAAGCCACAACAACCATCTTATTGAATGTCTTATTGAGTTAACAGATAGAACTTCCTTTTAGGGATTTCTTCCCAGCCCAGCACAAAGACTTACTTACTAGAAATATCAGTTAGTCCTCCTCTTTGCAGATTCAACCATTTATTGGAACCCTGACTGGCTGCTGCTATGGAGGGACACATCTTTCTCCTATCCTGATTGGGGCTATCTGATGCTGGGCAGAATTCTGGGAAATGTAGTTTAGGGCAGAGCCTTTTGAATTCTCTGACATAGTGCTCCTCAACTTCCCAAACTACATTTCCCAGAATTCGGTGCGTTCTCAGCCTCTTTCCCAGCCAACTCTGCTTTCTCCCTGCTGCTTCATTCTCCTAATGGTGAGAGGCCATTAATATAAATGGGAAATGCAGCCTTTTTGGCTTTGCTTTGCTTCCTTGTGCTGAAAATGAAACTGACTTTGGGAGGCTTCTGAGATTTACAAAATGCAAACAAAAAAGTATTGGGTAAGTTTTGATTCTTAAGTTTTTGGGTCAGGCCATGTCCACACATCGGATATTGCATTGTAAGTACAAATTTAACAAATTTGATATGATTTATGACAACTAATACAAAAATTGCACACCCCTACTATCTATAATCTATCTATCTATCTATCTATCTATCTATCTATCTATCTATCTATCTATCTATCTAATCTATCTAAATGGATGTATGTATGTTTGTTCCACAAATGCTCCTACATTTTAAGACTGGCTCAATAACAATGGACACAGGTTGCAAAATCTCAAGATTATACTTTCTTTTGAGATGATACTAAATTTATGAGTCACTTCTCTTGATCGGAAATTGTATTGAAGATACTGGTTTCGGAAGGTATTGTCTCAGAATGGCGCAGGAAAAAATAAATAAACATATTGTCCATTGTGTATATTCTTCAGTACTGGAGAGAAATGAGGGATTAGATATCGGTTTCTCTAATAATGTAAGGCAGGTGTTTCTCAAAGACAGATGACTCTTGACTTCCTTCTGAATTCTTTGATGCCCTCATGCAGGAGCTTCGGATGACATATTTCTTACTTGTCTTCCAAGGCACTACTGGATATGAAAGAAAGGAGAGATATGTATGTTTTGTATTCTTTCTCATTTTGACAATAGAGTATGACAATACCCATGCCCACGTCTGACCAATGATGTCCTCTCCAGTAATTTTAGAAGACCTCCAGGCAATTTTAGAAATCTCTAGGTTCTCCAATATGGCAACTTCCAATATACAACAATCATAGCATCAACTCCAATACGATTCTATGGCCAGCTTCCAATACAAGTTGACCATAACATCAACTTCCAGTATAAGTTGATCATAGCATCAACTCCAATATGATTCTATGGCCAGATTCCAATACAAGTTGACCATAACATCAACTTCCAGTATAAGTTGATCATAGCATCAACTCCAATATGATTCCAATACAAGTTCACCATAACATCAACTTCCAGTATAAACTGATTATAGCATCAACTCCAATACGATTCTATGGCCAGCTTCCAATACAAGTTAATCATAACATCAACTTCCACTATAAGTTGATCTTAGCATCAACTCCAATACAATTCTATAGTCAGCTACCAATATAAGTTGACCATAGCATCAACTCCTACACAGTTCTATAGCCAGTTCCAATATAAGTTGACCACAGTATTAACTGCAATATGATAATATGGCCAGCTTTCAATATAAGTTGACTATAGTGTCAACTCCAATATGATTCTATTGCCAGCTTCCCAAATAAGTTGACCACAGTATCAACTGCAATACAATTATATGGCCAGCTTCCATTATAAGAAGACTATAGTGTCAACTCCAATATGATTCTATGGCCAGCTTCTAGAATAAGTTGACCATAGCATCAAGTCTAATATGATTCTTTAGCCAGTTCCAATGTAAGTTGACCATAGTGTCAACTCCAATATGTTGCTATGGCCAGCTCCAATATAAACTGATCATAGCATCAAGCTATATTCTAAACATGTTCTCTCTAGAACCAACTTATGTTCTAGAGGTGTTCTCTCCAGAAATCTCTAGGTCATTCAGCAAGACAGGAAGTTGACTATGGAATCATGCTGGTGGATTTAGAGATTTCTACTGCAATTTTCCAATTTGTTTTCCTTCCACCTCCCCTATATCCCAATGTGGTGCTTACCCTTCCAATTTTTTTCTTGACCATGGTTATCTTCATTTGGTCTCGATCTGTTACTTTCCAGGGTCTGTTCTGAAACATCGTTTCCTATAGATAGGATAAGAATGGGTGTGTGAAGAGGCAGACCTAGATTGCATCTTCACTGCAGAATGAAAGCATCTTGACACTACTTGAATTGTTATGGAGTCATGGAGTTGTAGTTTTACATGTTTTTTTTAGCCTCCTCTGCCAAAGAATGCTGGTTCCCCACCAAACTACAAATCCCAGTATTCCATAGCATTGAGCCATGGCAGTTCAAGTAGCATCAAACTACATTCATTTTATCTACAGTATAGACATGGAATACATTTTTGGACAATGCATATGGCTCATATTAAGCTGTTGGTAGCATAAACAGAGGGGTTCATATAGACCTTGGTTCATATATTAGTATGTTAAAGAAGATAGAGTAGTATATGAATGTATTTTGGGACCATTCAAGCAATGAGTATTTCTAATAAACAGTATTACAAAATGCCCAACCTGGGCGACATTAATGGGTATATATGCTAGTCTATATAAATAAAAATGTAATGTTCGTTTGTGGGATTAACAGAACTCAAAAACCAGTGGGCCAATTGACACGAAATTTGGACACAAGACACCTAACAACCCCATGTATGTCCTTCACTCAAAAAATTGATTTTATCATTTGGGAGTTGTAGTTGCTGGGATTTATAGTTCACCTACAATCAAAGATCATTCTGAATCCCACCAACGATGGAATTGAACTAATCTTGGCACACCGTTCTCCCATGACCAACTGAAAATACTAGAAGGGTTTGGTGGGCAGTGTCCTTTCCTTTTGGAGTTGTAGTTCACCTACATCCAGAGATCACTGTGGACTCAAACAATGGTGGATCTGGACCAAACTCTACACAAATACTCAATATGCCCAAATGTGAACACTGGTGGAGTTTGGGGAAAATAGAATCTTGACATTTGGGAGATGTAGTTGCTGGGATGTATAGGTCACCTACAATCACAGAGCATTCTGAACTCCACCAACGATGGAATTGAACCAAACTTGGCACACAGTTCTCCCATGACCAACAGAAAATACTGGAAGGGTTTGTGGGCATTGACTTGGGAGTTGTAGTTCACCTACATCCAGAGATCACTGTGGACTCAAACAATGATGGATCTGGACCAAACTCTACACGAATACTCAATATGCCCAAATGTGAACACTGGTGGAGTTTGGGGGAAATAAAATCTTGACATTTGGGAGTTGTAGTTGCTGGGATTTATAGTTCATCTACAATCACAGAGCATTCCGAATCCCACCAACGATAGAATTGGGCCAAACCTCCCACACAGAACCCCCATGTGGGTTACAGCAACGCATGGCAGGGGACGGCTAGTCCATAATATAAAATGTAATTAGAAGAGCTATGCACTGAAGTAGCCTCCAAAAGACAATATTTGTGGCAATGTGGATGCTGAATATTTTCTTTTTAAAAAAATCTGAGTGTGAAACACTTTTATTTGACCACACATCCCTTTACCTTTCTTCCATTCTCTGTGGGCTTTCCACAGCTTCACGACAAACAGAAGGACTACGATGGACAGAACAACAAGCAGAATGGTCACAAGGGCCGGGAGCAAAACGCTTGGCTCCTTTCCCACGATGCCTTTGTAAGTGAGGTTTGTTCCTGTAGGTTTGTACAAAAACATAGGAATTTTAATGCCTTTGAGGGCAGTCTCCTAGCAACTGCATCTTGCACTCTTGAGAGCGGAGGAAACATGTGAGTCTTTCAAACACTCCAGATTCACCCATAAACCTGAATGCTTTTTTGAGACCATGCAAGTCATTCAGAAACTGGTGAAAATGTGTATACTTCCCTCCCTGCTTTAGTGTCTCCAATATATCGAGAGATGGGACTGCAGCTCCTATCATTCCCAGCCATAGCAGCTTCATTAGGAGGGTTCGAATCACATAATCAGAGAGGATGGCATCAACATGACTTTATATGAAATTATTTTGCAATGTTTCAGAAGGATTTTAAGTACTAAATTTTATCAGTGGGTTTTAATTTGTATTTAGGAGCCTTCAGTGGCATAATGGGTTAAACCCTTGAGCCAGCAGGACTGAAGACTGACAGGTTGGAGGTTTGAATTCGGGGAGAGCATGGATGAGCTCCCTCTGTCAGCTTCAGTTCCTCATACAGCGACATGAGAGAAGTCTTCCACAAGGATGGTAAAACATTCAAACATCTGGGCATCCCTTGCGCAACGTCCATGCAGACGGCCGGTTCTCTCACACCAGAAGCAACTTGCAGTTTCTCAAGTCACTCCTGACATGAAAAGAAACCCTTGTATTTTAATTCTTTGTATCTTGTCTGGATATTAATAGTGTTTTATCTCTTATTTTAATGATGTTGTAGCCCTCCTCAAGCAGCAGGGAGAGGCAGGTAATGCATCATCATCATCATCATCATCATCATCATCATCATCTGTGATCTTGGACAACAAGTTAAACATGAACCAACAATGTCATGCGGCAGCTAAAAAAACTAATGGGATTTTGGCCTGCATAAATAGGAACCTAGTGTCAAAATTCAGGGAAGTCATGCTCCCCCTCTATTCCGTCTTGATCAGACCACACCTGGAATCACACTGTGTCCAATTCTGGGCACCATAATTGAAGGGAAATGTCGACTCTAAGCTGGAGGATGACTCAAAGGCTCAAGGGTCTGGAGAACAAGCCCTATGAGGAGCGGCTGAAAGAGCTGGGCATGTTTAGCCTGCAGCGGAGAAGGCTGAGAGGAGATATGATAGCCATGTATAAATATGCGAGAGGAAGTCACAGGGAGGAGGGAGCAAGCTTGTTTTCTGCTGCCCTGGCGACTAGGATGCAATGGAACAATGGCTTCAAACTACAAGAAAGAAGATTCTACCTGAACATTAGGAAGAACTTTCTCTGCCCTGGAGTGTGGTGGAGGCTCCTTCTTTGGTAGCTTTTAAACAGAGGCTGGATGGCCATCTGTCGGGTGTGCTTTAAATGTGATTTTCCTGCTCTGTGGTAGAATGGGGTTGAACTGGATGGCCCACGAGGTCTCTTCCAACTCGATGACTCTATGATCATCATCATTATTATGTAAAAATATTTTTGTACCTAGATATAACACTTTTTATCATAAACTGAGATGATAAAAAGTGTTATATCTAGGTATAGGGATCTAGGTATAGTTTACATAGGTTGCTATGTGCCTTCTAGTCATCTGAGACCTATGTCAACCCTAAGGCAACCTTATCATAGGGTTTTCTTAGGAAGATTAATTCAGGGAGCCTTTGCCTTTGCTTTCCTCTGAGGCTGAGAGAGTACAACTTGCCCAATTGAGTTTCAATTACTCAATTAGTTTTGATGGCCAGGAGGGGATTCGAACCCTGGTCTCTAGAATCTTAGGGTACATCTACACTGTAGAATGAATGCAGTTTGACACTGCCTTGGCTCAATGCTATAGAATTATAGGTGTTGTAGTTTTACAAGTTGCTCTGCCATCTCTACCAAAGAGTGCCAGTGCTTCACCAAACTACAAATCCCATAATTCCATAGCACTGAGCCATAGCACTCCACGTGGTGCCAAACTGCACACTCTCTACAGTGTAGAATTAAATAAATTGAACTAATAGTTTTAAAATTAAGGAATGGACATTGAGTTGCATTAGTTTACCGTTTGTTGTCTTGGAATTAACCGTTGCTGTATCCAGACTTGTGAATGATGTCCACGCAGGAAACCTTCCCTCTGTTGCATTTAACATTTTGTGGGTTCCTTTTAGAAACAGAAAAAGAGAAGACTTATTATTTTAAACTCCCAAGGGGAATGCATAACGTCTTATTGATATTTCAGTAAATTACTCTATATATCGGACTGTCAGTAGCAATTAATTTCATTTTGCATTTGGTGGAAAGGAGAGTAGAACAGTTGGATTTCCCACCATTTGGCACCGGATCTCCATTGCTTTCACCTTCACCCATGGAGAATGTCTTCACATATAACTAAAACAATACATAGTATGTTGGTCTACATTAGTTTAAACAATAGACACTGTTCTTAAGTTAACTTACCATTATAGATGGTAGAATTAAAACTCAAGGTAGATGCTTCTATCATTGTGGACATTGTTGGCATTGTAGAGTTCCCTTCGGTGGCATTGAATATTTTGTCTGATGCTGCAAAAACAAAAGAGCATCACAATGTCTCTTGTCATGAACGTATATTACCATACAAACATAACAGTTTGGTGGTATATTTTGTTCATTATGACATTTTGCTCTTACCTGTGTAATCTAACGAATTTGCAAGCATTACTGTACTGAATTCAGTGGCATTTGTAGTAAGGTCTGTTGTAGACTCTGGAAACAAAATATATTATTTCAAAAGTGCTTGTTTCGTCACATAAGGCAATATTTAACTCATGTATCAACACACTGCTGGTGGCAAAGACTGGCCTGAATCCATTGTTAGTCCCAACTAAAGTAGATCTTTTGAATAACTGGGACTTACACTTATCAAGTTCACCTTGATTCAAAAAATATGCATTGAATCAAGAACAAATCTAACAATTGCATTCAGGTCACTGTGAGCGAAATCCAATTTTGATCCCAAATGGACCCATTGAAAACAATGGGACTTGCATAAATAGCAAAGAATGATTCACATTCATTTCAAAGGGTCTGTTCAAGATGGAAATAATAATAAAATAACAACAACAACACTTCATTTATATTTCGCCCTATCTCCCCAAGGGGACTTAGGACTGGTCACAGTACACATATATGGCAAACATTCAATGCCATTTTGGATGGACAATACAGAAGTAGACAGAACAGAATGAAGGTATGTTGTGTCAATGTCAACGTCCAGCTTTTTGGCGCCATGGAAGGTTGTGCTCAAATCCAGCCACAGGGGATTCGCTACAGCCTCTATGATGAAGAGCCATCAGGACTTCCTCCTTCCTTTTGGTCACTCAGCATTTTCTGGTTTTTTTCTTTATGGTGTCATAAAATACCTCCCCACTTGTTTTGGTGGTATCTAATTTCTTTAATTACAGTTCAAGCTGGTTTTGAATGGTTTAGATCAACAATAAACTGGGCTTGACAGTCAGCAGCTCATGTTGACCCGGGGTTTTGAACTGGCAACCTTTTGGTTGGTAGATCTTATTATTGGTGATGATTTACCAGCTGTGCTAAACCCTGGCCCATGAACTCTTTAGGGAAGTACCAACTCATTAGGGAAGTAAAATGTGATGGTTTAATTTTTCTTGCTGCCAATAATCTGGACTACCATTTTACCCTAATATGGATTAAATGTTGTTCCCAGTTCCCAGCTCCTGGATGCTACTAATTTAACAAATGTTATTCCATTGCCACAGTGCTCCTACTGTTAGGGTCAGAGTGAGCTCCCACTGTTAGCCCTAGCTCCTGCCAACCTAGCAGTTTGAAAATATGCAAATGTGAGTAGATCAACAGTTTCAGCGGGAAGGTAATGAAGGCACCCATGCAGCCATGTCAGCAAACATGACCAGGAGGTGTCTATGGACAACAGGCTTCTCAGCTTGGAAATGGAACAAGAGCACCTCCCCATGGCCAAAGATGAGCTCCACCTCCAGAAAGCCGGAGAGGAAAGGGGAAGCCTTTACCCTTGTTCTGTGTATTTGTGTGTCATTGCTATTCCACTGTATTAAAGGCATTTAATGTTCGGCTATCTGTGTATGTTGTAATATGCTCTGAGTCTTCTTTAAGAGATAGAGTGGAATATAAATAAATTATTATTATTATTATTATTATTATTATTATTATTATTATTATTATTTATTGTTGACCAAAATTGTGCTCAATGGCCTCTGCACTTACTGAAAGGTTTGAGGTATAATGTTGCTGTTAAGTTTCCTCCTTCAAGAGCTTCATGGTGAATAATACAAGTAAAGAAAGACGTCCGGGTGTATTTACGGACTGTGAGGATGCTGGTTGAATTGTATTTCTTGGCATCCCGTTGGTGTTCCGAGTCACCTGCAATACAAAGGGGACAATAATACCTATGGACCATTTTTAAAAAAATGTAGAGCCTTTAGCTGAAAGTGAGCAAACTGAGAAGATCTTCTTGTCAAGTATTTTGAAGGGAAGGACCCACATGGTGTGCTATTTTGAATGTTGGATTTCGTGCAAGCCATACTCTCTCAACCCAAAAAATAGGCTCTTACTGCCTATTACAGGGAAAACCAACTGATCCCTAATCCAACTAAAACACAGAAATGTGCTTTTCACCTTAAGAACAGACAAGTATCACGAGCACTGAGGATTACCTGGGAAGGAATCCCACTGGAGCATTGCAGCACACCCAAATACCTGGGAGTCACTCTGGACCGTGCTCTGACCTACAAGAAGCACTGCCTTAATATCAAGCAAAAAGTGGGCGCTAGAAATAATATCATAGGAAAGCTGACTGGCACAACCTGGGGATCACAACCAGACACAGTGAAGACACCTGCCCTTGCACTATGCTACTCTGCTGCTGAGTATGCAGGTCTAGTGTGGAACACATCTCACCACGCTAAAACAGTGGATGTGGCTATTAATGAGACATGCCGCATTATCACGGGGTGTCTGCCCCCTACACCACTGGAGAAATTACACTGCACCACCTGACATTCACCGGGAAGTAGCAGCCAATAGTGAAAGGACCAAGGCAGTGACATCTCCAGCTCATCCCCTGTTTGGGTATCAGCCAGCACATCAACAACTTAAATCAAGAAATAGGTTTCTAAGATCTACAGAGAAACTCGCTGGAACACCTCAGCAAGCAAGAGTCCAAAAGTGGCAGGCTCAAATCCAGAACCTCAATCAATGGCTGATACCAAATAAGAGACTCCCCCTGGGCACACAGAAGACTGGGCGACTTGGATGGTGCTGAACAGACTGCGCTCTGGCACCACGAGATGCAGAGCCAACCTTAAGAAATGGGGCTATAAAGTGGAATCCATGACATGCGAGTGTGGAGAAGAGCAAACTACAGACCACCTGCTGCAATGCAACCTGAGCCCTGCTACATGCACAATGGAGGACCTTCTTGCGGCAACACCAGAGGCACTCCAAGTGGCCAGCTACTGGTCAAAGGAAATGTAATCAACTACCAAGCTTGCAAACTTTGTGTTTTGTTTGTTTGTTAAAAAATGCAATAGAACTGTTTGGTTTGTCCTGACACGATAAATAAATAAACCCCAAAAAAGGGGCAATGGCAAACCTTCTCTGAATATAGGCTTCCAACCACTTTGATTTAAGGAAGGCTGTCAAAAGGGCATTGCAATAAAACCATTAAGTAATGTAAATGTACCAAAGAGTTCCACCCCGTTGTCCAGCATCCATGTAACCCGAGGAGGAGGTTTACTTCCCCAGGTGGAGCATTTCAATATAATTTTTTCTTCTTCGTTGTGACTCCTGGTTCTTAATGCTTCCAAAAGAGGTTGAGAAGGAGCAGCTGCAACAAGAAGGATTGGAGAGTTCAGACTTTCTACTGTGATAACAAAAGGTTCTGATCATCTCCCAATGTTTAACAATCTCTGGACATTATAGCAAGGGTAATACCATTTTATTTATTTATTTACAATATTTGTATACCGCTTTTCTCACCCTGAAGGGAACTCAAAGAGGTTTGCACATAGGTAATGGCAAAATTCAATGCCAGCACAAACAATTACAATTATACAATTACAGTTAGACATAAATCAAATTAAAATACATCCATAAACAATAGAACAATAATTAAAACAATAAAACAGTCTCATCAGTTGAATCGCCGTTCCACTCATTGTCTTTCCGAAATGCTGCATAGATTTGTTTCTACTGCCCGAAGGCCTGGTCCCAAAACCATGTTTTTTCCTAAAAGCCAGGAGGGAGGGAGCAGATCTTACCTCATTTGGGAGAGTGTTCCATAGGAGAGGGGCCACAGTTGAGAAGGCCCTGTCTCTCGTCCCTGCCAGGCGCATTTGCGCTGTTGACGGGAGCGAGAGCAGGGCCTCCCCGGATGATCTTAGATTACGAGGTGGGACATAGGGGCAGATGCATTCAGACAAGTAAGCTGGGACAAGTAAGCATTGGGACAAGTAAGCTTCTTACCTTGTTAGTTAAGCAGGGCAAGACCTGGTAAGTACTTGGATGGGAGACCAGCAATTAATACCAGGTGCTGTGAACTATATTCCAGAGAAAGGAACTGGCTAAACCACCTCTGAGTATTCCTTGCTTAAGAAAAACTCTGTGAAATTCATAGAGTTGCACCAGGTCTTGAAGGGACATACACACTACCCTATACATAGGTTGGCTTGGCCATCTCTTCCCATCTATGCATTCTTCCCACCCACTAACAGCCCACAATTCAAGGACTCACCTATGACAATGACACTCACATCCTTTCTTTGGATTTTATCACTGTAGTAGAAACATGTGTAGAGCCCTTCGTCTTGCATTGTTACGTTGGACAGAGTAATGGATAGAGCATCTACTGAATAATGGGCAAGTTTATACCTCTGGTCTCTTAGACCTGTAGAAGGGAAGAATGGAAATGAGTAATGAGTGACAAATACAAAATACTCCACTTAGGCAGAAAAAAATGAAATGCAAAGAAACAGAATGGGGGATGCCTGGCTCTAGAGCAGTAAGTGTGAAAAAGATCTTGGAGTCCTCGTGGACATCAAGTTAAACATGAGCCAACAATATGATGCGGCAGCAAAAAAGCCAATGGGATTTTGGCCTGCATCAATAGGAGTATAGTGTCTAGATCCAGGGAAGTCATGCTCCCCGTCTATTCTGCCTTGGTTAGACAACATCTGGAATCACACTGTATCCAATTCTGGGCACCACAATTGAAGTGAGCTGTTGACAAGCTGGAATGTGTCCAGAGGAGGATGACTAAAATGATCAAGGGTCTGGAGAACAAGCCCTATGAGGAGCGGCTTAAAGAGCTGGGCATGCTTAGCCTGAAGAAGAGAAGGCTGAGAGGAGACATGATAGACATGTATAAGTATGTGAGAGGAAGTCATAGCAAGGAGGGAGCAAGCTTGTTTTCTGCTGCCCTGGAGACTAGGACACAATGGAGCAATGGGGAAAAAATAAGAAAGAAGTCTTCTGATCAAACACTGAGCATAATCCTCAGGAATAGAGAGTAATGGTTTCTCTGCCCTTGTTCTTTTCTTTCTTTGATTGCACAGTGACAAATATGTTGGAAGGAAGTGCTGTATTCACACCTCCTAGTCACAGTGGTCAGGCATTCATTGCACTGACATCTTGTACAAAATTACTTGGATGATGAACGAATGTTGTTGTTAACTGCCATCAAGTCAATTTCAACTTATGTTGACTTCATGTATGAGACATCTCCAGGTCCCCTTATCCTCAACGTTGCAGGTTTCCAGACTCAGGGCATTTGTGGCTTCTATGATTGAGTCCATTCATCTGGAATGTAGTCTTCCTCTTTTCCTATTATTGTCTACCTTTGATGTTTGGTGAATGAGAGACCTCTGAGTCAATCTTTCCTCACTAGCCTTGCTTAGGTGATATGGGACATCCATCCATGACTTTTGTGACTGAGTCCATTCATATGGAATGTGATCTTCCTCTTTTCCTATTATTGTCTCCCCATGACGTTTGTTGAATGAGTGACCTCCAAGGCAACCTGTCCTCACTAGACCTGCTTAGGTGATATGGGACATCCATCCATGGCTTCCATGACTGAGTCCATTCATCTGGGATGCAGTCTTCCTTTTCTCCTATTATTGTCTACCTATGACATTTGGTGAATGAGAGACCTCCAAGTCAACCTGTCCTCACCAGCCTTGCTTAGGTGACATGGAACGTTCATCCATGGCTTCCATGACTGAATCCATCCGTCTAGAATGCAGTCTTTATCTTCTCCTATTATTATCTACCTTGGATGTTTGGTGAATAAGAAACCTTCAAGTCAACCTGTCCTCACGAGGCCTGCTTAGGTGACATGGGACATCCATCCATGGCTTCCGTGATTGAGTACATCCATCTGGAATGCAGCCTTCCTCTTTTTCTGTTGCCTACTACCTCACCAAGCATTATTGTTTTTTCAAGGGAGTCATGTCTTCTCATGGCACGGCCAAAGTATGACAACCTTCATTTAGTCAATTTGGCTACTAGGGAGAGTTTATGCTTGATTTGCTCTAGAATCCATTCATGTGTCTTCAGATCAGTCCCAGTATCCTCATAAATCTTCCACAGAACCAATTTCAAATGAGTTCATTTTCTTCCTATCAGCCTTCTTCACGGTCGAGCATTCACATCAACACAAATGGGGAATACAATGGCATCAAGCATCCTAACTTTAGTCTTCACGCATACATCTTTAAGATCTTGTCTAGTTCCGTCATGGCTTCCCTTTCAAAACCTAGGATGGTTAATGCACTCCAATTACTATAGAGTCCTGTGATCTGTAGTTTGGTGAGGCAACAGTATTATTTGATGGAAAAGGCTAAAGACCACATAAAGCTACATCTCCCATGATTCCATAGCATTGAGTCATGATAGATAAGGTGATGTTAAAGTGAATTCATTCCATAGTATAGGTGCACCCTGGATCTTCTGATTTCTTTATTGCAGTCTCCATTCTGCTCAATGGTGGAGCCAAACCATGGAAAATCTTGAACTACTGTATTTCAGTGACTAACTGTACAATATGACTAATTGCACAGTATGAGTCATACACACCAATGAAGAGGGAGGGAAGGAAAACCCACCACTTGCTTTGTTCTGGTAGAAGAGAGGTGTTTGTGTGTGTCTATGGGGTTTGGGAGGGGAGCATGGACTTTCTCTTGTATTTACCTCGGTGTTTGTTTAAAAAAATCACATAGCCCTTTGGGTTTTTCCACTCCAGAGTCGGTCTGTGATGCCCAGAGGGAGCCGCAGCAACTCTACAGTCCAGGTCTAGCGTATCACCCTCCACGACTGTTACAATTTCCTTGTGGGTCTCTTGAAAAGCCCCTGACAAAAGAAATGAGATTCATCCATCACCCCAAGCTTAACAAAAGAATGAGTCTCCTGATATGTCAAAAGAGCAAACTTTTCCATTTAGACTCATGATAGAAATACGATTAAAGTCTATTGCATTTAACACACGCAAGCACAAATGCAATTTTAGTATCATTGTTCCCTCAATTAATACACTCTAGTTGGAATAGTTAAAGGGTTCCTAAATCCTGAATATTCCACAACTTGCAATTGTCCATATAGGTGTCTGGGCTAATGGCACCTTTACTTTCTGATCGTTCGATACACAAACTCTGTTCACCTTCAATTTATGAAGCATAAATGGACTTCATGTTTAGATTTGGAGCCCAACTCCAAAACATCCTACCATATACATAAATGCAAATGCAGGGACTCTAGAGTCAGGAAAAAAAAATTCGAAAATTGAAAATACTTGTGGTCCCAAGCATTTTGAATACAGGATCTCAACCTCTATAAACATTTAGAAGTTATGTAGCATCTTAAAGTCCAATGAACGTTCTGCAGAATGAGCTTTCATAACATCAGATGGAAATGCCGTCCAGAATTCCATATATACATGTAATGTGCATGGTTTGGTTCTTGTTATGTACAGTCTGCCATAAACCATAAATACTACTGAATATATACTGAATATCGACCATGTTATCCTTCTGGGGAGGCTTACTGGGATGGGACTTGGGGGCACAGTTCTTCTGTGACTCTGGTCCTTCCTGGAGGGTCGTTCACGTCGGTGAAGCTGGGGGACTCCTGCTCAGATCCCTGGCCATTGACCTGTGGGGTCCCGCAAGGATCCATTCTGTCCCCCATGCTATTTAACATCTACATGAAACCACTGGGAGAGGTCATCCAGAGTTTTGGAGTACGGTGTCACCTCTACGCAGATGACACCCAACTCCACTACTAATTTCCACCAGACTCCAAGGAAGCCCCGAGGATACTGGACAAGTGCCTGGCTGCTGTGACGATCTGGATGAGGACGAACAAGCTGAGGCTCAATCCTGACAAGACAGAGGTTCTCCAGGTCAGTCGCTCGTCTGACCGGGGTATTGGGTGGCAACCTGTGCTGGATGAGGTTGCACTATCCCTGAAGACACAGGTCTGCAGTTTGGGGGTCCTTCTGGACTCAGTGCTGATGCTTGAAGCATAGGTGTCGGCGGTAGCCGGGAGGGCCTTCACGCAATTAAAACTTGTGCGCCAACTGCGACCTTACCTCGTGAAGTCTGACTTGACCATGGAGGTCCATGCCTTAGTTACCTCTAGACTGGACTATTGCAATGCACTCTACGTGGGGCTACCCCTGAAGATTGCCTGGAAATTACAACTTGTCCAACGGTCGGCAGCCAGATTAATAACTGGGGCAACTTACAGGGAGAGGTCAACCCCCCCTGTTTAAGGAGCTCCATTGGCTGCCATTGATTTTCCAGCCCCAATTCAAGGTACAAGTTCTTACCTATAAAACCCTAAATGGTTTGGGACTTGCCTACCTTCGTGATCGTATCTCTCTCCATGAACGAGCCCAAATTCTCCGATCTTTGGGGGAGGCCCTCCTTTTGCCATTGCCAGTTTCTTGGGCTTGCCTTATGGGCACAAGGGAGAGAGCCTTCTCCTCTGTGGCCCCCCGACTCCGGAACGCATTGCCCGGAGAGATTAGGAAAGCCCCTACTCTAGAAACCTTTAAAAAGAATCTCAAGACCTGGCTCTGCCGTTGCGCTTTCGGAGAGTAGTTACATATTCTTAACCTATTGCTCCCCTCAACGTCTTTGTCCTAGGAGTACACCCCCCCTTGTACGAAGGTCTGATTATTTCCCTGTCTCTCTATGATTTCTCCCTTACAAATAGTTCTGCTCCTTTATCTCACCCTGAGTTTTTAAATCATTTTGTGTACATGCGGCCTGCTCACTGTCATTATGTTTGGTTTACAGTTTTTTTCTTCTCTTTATGTTTTGTGTATATTGTTTATATGCTTATATATTTTATATTTTAATGCTATGTTGTTTATTTTATTGCAATTTGTATCTTATTTTAATGTATTTTGTTGTTTGGGCTTGGCCTCATGTAAGCCGCCCCGAGTCCCTGTTGTGGGCAGGCATGTAGGGGGGGGGGGGGGGGGGGGGGGGGGGGTGGGGGGGGGGGGTGGGGGGGGGGGGGGGGGGGGGGGGGGGGGGGGGGGGGCTTGAGGGGCTTCAGCCCCCCCCCCCGAAATTCTCATGGTGGTTCGCGAAAAGGCCTTACTGGTGCATTATTTAAACTGTTATGTTTATTCATATCATGATCTGATCACCATACTCAATATATCACATATGCATGGGGGTATTGGGGTAATGATACAAAAGGTTTGCTAGGCTAGACCCTCTTTCACTCAGACTCAGCCCCCCCCCAAACTCAGCCCCCCCGAACCCCCCTAAAAAACTCAGCCCCCCCCCCCCAAATCAAAATCCTGGCTACGGGCCGGTTGGGGGAGATGGTGGTGAGGTATAAAGATTATTATTATTATTATTATTATTATTATTATTATTATTATTATTATTATATGAATTTGATACTAGAATATCCTCTCTACAAGCTAAAGGAAAGTGTTGTGAAGCTACTCTAAAATATTCAGAAACATCAACACGCTCATGCCGTCAGCGGCTGAGAGGGCTGCTTTGGTGGTTTTCCATGAGACCTTTCTATAACTTCACTATTTCCTGCTGCAGACATTAGGTGGGGTGCAGCAGGGAGGAGGAAATGTCAGTTTACAAGCCTTTAACAGACACCACAAGGAAACACACAAGCAACAGCATCATTGATGAAAATCCTTTCCATGTGACGCACTAGAAAATCCAGGGTGAACACAGATAGGTGTGGTTACCATTAAGCACCACTGGTCACTGTCATGGTCTAGAACAGTGGTTCTCAACCTTCTTAATGCTGCGACCCCTTAATACAGTTCTCCATGTTGTAGTGACTCCCAACCATAACATTATTTTCATTGCTACTTCATAACTGTAAGTTTGCTATTGTTATGAATCATAATATAAATCTAAATATCTGATATACAGGATGTATTTTCATTCACTGGACAAAATTTGGCACAAATACCTGGTACACCCAAATTTGAATACTGGTGGGATTGATGGAGTGGATTGATTTTGTCATTTGGGAGTTATAGTTGCTGGGATTTATAGTTAATCTGCAATCAAAGAGCATTCTGAACTCCACCAGTGATGGAATTGAACCAAACTTAGCACCCAGAACTCCCATGACCAACAGAAAAATACTGGAAGGGTTTGGTGGGCATTGACCTTGAGTTTTGGAGTTGTAGTTCACCTACATCCAGAGAGCACTTTGGACTCAAACAATGATAGATCTGAACCTAACTTGGCATGAATACTCCATATGCCCAAATGTGAACACTGGTGGAGTTTGGGGAAGATAGACCTTGACTTTTGGGAGTTGTAGTTGCTGGGTTTTAGCATTCACCTACACTCAAAGAGCATTCTGAACCCCACAAATGGTAGAATTGGGTCCAACTTCTCACACAGAACCCCAACGCCCAACAGAAAATACTGTGTTTTCTGATGGTCTTTGGTGATCCCTCTGACACCCCCTCATGACCCCCTCAGGGGTCCCGACCCCCAGGTTGAGAAACACTGGTCTAGAATGAAGAGAATAGACACTCAGTCCACTGGAAAGGACTCTGTTAGGGCATCAGGTCCTGCTTCAATTTAGAAGCTAAGCAGGGTCAGCCCTGGTTCACCTTCAGATGGAATACCATTGATGAATCCCAAATTCTATAGTCTGTATTTCAGAGGAAGGAACTGGCTAAACCATCTCTGAGTACTCCTTGTCCAAGCAAAACTTTATGACATTCATGCACCACCATAAAGTTAACAAGTATTTATTTATGGTGTCAGAAGCGAATGAGCATACTGTTGCAATGTATAGAAAACCAACAAACGAATTTGAAAACTTGGTATTATACTAAATGAGAGAAGCCTCCTCACAGGATAGTAGCACATCCAGGTATCCCCTGGGTAACATCTTTGTATACGGCTGATTATCTAACACCAGAAGTGACTTGCAGCATGCAACCAAACAAACAAACAAGTTAACAAATAACTTGAAGGCGCACATCGGCACCATAATTAAGAGTGGTTATCCTGTCTCAGACAGAATGTAAGTAATCATGGGATGAGTACAGAGCTTGTAAATAATGAGCCACAAGTAACATTTTATGTGTATTGAATTACTTTAAAAAATGAAGCCGTGTTTTATTGTCCTTTCAGTGTAGACAGTCCATATAAGTCAGTGTAGACCCATATATAATGCAGTTTAATGAGTTTACACAGATCATATGCAGTGATACCTTGAATTAAGAGTTTAATTCATTCTGTGACTGAGTTCTTAACTCAAATTGTTCTTATCTCAAACCAAATTTTCCTATTGAAATACTATTAATCCATTTCCCCCCCTCAAACCCCCCCCCCCATTTTTGTTATGTGTTTTTAAATAGGAAAATGTACTTTAGCAATAACCAATAATGTATAAATGCACATTGTTAAATTATGGAACAATAAAAAAGAAAAATCAGTTTTAAAATGGTAGAAGCATAAAGTTGTGGCAAGGAAGCACAAAGTGAAGAGGCAGAACCATCATCTTCTTCTTCCTAAAATCCTCATTCCAACCTCCCTCCCTCCCAATCTCCCTCCCCCTCTTTCTTCATGAAGCAAAACATACCAGGAATAAAAATCACCCAAAATCAACTAACCCAAAGTTCCTCAATGCAGACAAGAACAAAGTCCTCAAAACCTACAACAACCCAGTGATTCCGGCCATGAAAGCCTTCGACAATGCAAGAACAAAGTGGACAGTAATCTTCCAAAGCAGACAAGAGCGTGAGGAATGGAGACATGAGGCACAGAGGCTGCTCCATTGAAGTCCTAAAAATTTGTACTCTGGTGCTAGCTCTTAACACAAAATGCTATTTGTATGTCAAAGCAAAACACAGGCTGAGCAGCAGCTCTTAACTCAAAACACCCATAAGTTGGGATGCTCTTAAGTCAAGGTTCCACTTTAATGCTTTTTCAAACTGCATAGTATGGCAATATAGACCTAGCCTTAGTTTGCACCAGTTGAAAGAAGTTCAGAGGGTAAGTGGAGGAGGAGAGAAACCAGGACATTGTGAAAGCAGCTAGGGAAGTAGGATGACAGAGGATCAATCAGCACTGTCCCTGCCAAATTGGAACAGTATGATTCTCTGAGCAATTTTCACGACAGAGGCATGTAGAGTGCAGTATAGCAATCCTAATGTCATGTGCGACCTACCTTGCAGTGGCAATACCAAAGCCAACACAGAGAGTATGGCAGCGAAGGGCATAGTGTTGTGTGTGGCAGTCTCTTGTGTCAAAGGCAGCCCTTGGGAGAAACACAGCCCACTTTCTCTTTGCTTCTGAACCCCAGGGTCGGGCGCAGTTGGGGCTTCCTCCTTTTCAAGGGGCCAGAAAGAGGCATGTGCCATGACTTCATCAGCCACAGTCTCTGCCCCCTTTCCTTTCGCTGCTCCCACCTCCCTTCACACCTTGTAGACGGGGGACATTTTCCTCCTGCGGCTGAAGGCAAGAAAGTCAGCTCCCCCCTCGGCATCTTCTCAAACGATGTGTGGTCAAGAGCTCACACTAGAGCTCACAGTGTGATCTTAAAAGATTAGTTTGCTTGGTTATTTTGTACTTTCTTAAATATGTTTTGAACAAACCACTCACACAATGAGGTAGCTGGTGTTTCCCTCTGATTGTAGTGAAGTGCACAACTTCACTAAAATCCCCATGTTCCTGGACTTAACATTCAGAAAATTAGAATAATAGAATCACAGAATTGGAAGAGACCTCATGGGCCATCCAGTCCAACCTCCCGCCAAGAAGCAGGAAAATTGCATTCAAAGCACCCCTGACAGATGGCCATCCAGCCTCTGTTTAAAAGCCTCCATAGAAGGAGCCTCCACCACACTCCGGGACAGAGAGTTCCACTGCTGAACAGCTCTCACAGTTAGGAAGTTCTTCCTAATGTTCAGATGGAATCTCCTGTAGTTTGAAGCTATTGCTTTGCATCCTGGTCTCCAGGGCAGCAGAAAAAAAGCTTGCTCTCTCCTCTCTATGACTTCCTCTCACATATTTATACATTGTTCTGTCGCCACTGGGCCTATAGTTAGTTGACTTTAGATATAGGATGTTTAACCTTTACCCAGCGGGAAGCCAGGGGCCCTAGGAAAAGTTCTCAGAGGCTTCCTTTATAAAAGGAATCTTCAAATGGCTTAAAAGGTACAACAAAGTGTTTTATTAAAGAATCAAACAGGAATTGTAAAGCTTTCTTGGTAAAGTATCAGTTCTCTCAAACTTGTCCACAGGGAACAGGCACTATCTTCAATAACTTTCTTCAAAGGAAAATTCCTCTTTGTAACTTCTCCCAAGGCTATCTAAAATCCAACCCTCACTGGTGTGGGCTCCTTTGCCAGGCCGAACTGCTTCTCGAAACACTGAGAGGACCTACCAGACAGGAAATGGATGTTCTTTAGAGTTTAAGGCTGTCTTCATGGAAACTCCCAAGGCTGTAGGAAGGAATCCCTGGAGTTTTTAGGAGACTCTTAAAGCTGTGGGAATGCTTCCCTAGCATTCTTTCCCTGGAGCTCTTAAAGGTTGAAGCCTTTGTACAGGGGAAGTAAACACATCCTATACATTGGTTAACCTTGCTGTGACTGACTGGAAAAGGCTCCCTTCCCTCCAAAGCCTAGAAAGGGGGCAGAACCAGGGAACCCAATGACAATTGACAGGTGGCTTGCCCTAAGAATGCAGCCAAAAGAAGCCACCTATCTGCAGAGTCCCTGAAACTTAGAACTATAAACAAACACTCAGTGCAAAGCACAAAATTGGAGCTCCTGGAACAGCTGTTCCAGATATTTATACATGGCTCTCATGTCTCCTCTCAGCCTTCTCTTCTTCAGGCTAAACATGCCCAGCTCCTTTAAGCCGCTCCTCATAGGGCTTGTTCTCCAGACCCTTGATCATTTTAGTCGCCCTCCTCTGGACACATTCCAGCTTGTCAATATCTCTCTTGAATTGTGGTGCCCAGAATTGGACACAATATTCCAGGTGTGGTCTATCCAAGGCAGAATAGAGCATGGGTAGCATGACTTTTTTGGTCTAGATACTAGACTCCTATTGATGCAGGCCAAAATTCCACTGGCTTTTTTGCTACTGCATCACATTGTTGATCTCACAGACTCAGAGCAAACATTGGACCGTAATAAGTATATCCTATTTACTTATATGGGAGCCCCCGGTGGCGCAGTGGGTTAAAGCACTGAGCTGCTGAGCTTGTTGATCGAAAGGTCTCAGGTTCGATTCCAGGGAGCGGCGTGAGCTTCCGCTGTCAGCCCTAGCTTCTGCCAACCTAGCAGTTCGAAAACATGCAAATGTGAGTAGATCAATAGGTACCGCTCCGGCGGGAAGGCAACGGCGCTCCATGCAGTCATGCCGCCCTCATGACCTTGGAGGTGTCTATGGACAACGCTGGCTCTTCGGCTTAGAAATGGAGATGAGCACCACACCCCAGAGTCAGACATGACTGGACTTAATGTCAGGGGACTACCTTTACCTTTTATTTACTAATATGTCAACGGCAGCGAGTATTGCCTATGTGAAACTTTGGAAATTGGACAAGACACCAGATATTGATGATTGGATAAGCAAATTAAAAGAAATCAACACCTCGGGAAGCTTCATTAAAAGGACTGATTGGAACCCTATTGAGGAATATGAAAAGGAAAAAGAAACATAAATATTTACTTAATTATGGGCTTTTTACCTTATTTTTTCTAGATATACATATATATTTGAATTTATAAAGCAAGAATGAGAATTGCAGGGGCACAGAATGGAAGTCAATGGGACCTTTTTCTTTTTTTTCTTTTTTCTTCTGTTTCCTACTTTACTATCAACACTGTCTGTTAGAGGCAAGTGTGAATGTTGTAATTGGTAACCCTGATTAGCACTGCATGGTCTTGCAACTTCAAAAACTGGCTGATTGCTGCCTGGCAGAATCCTTTGTTGGAAGGTGTTAGCTGGCCCCAACAGCATTCTCTCCTGATGTTTTGCCCACATCTAATTGTCATTGGCCACCTTGATTAGCACTGAATAGCCTTACAGCTTCAAAGCCTGTCTGCTTCCTGCCTAGGGGAATCCTGTGTTGGGTGGTGATTAGCTGGCCCTGATTGTTTCCTGTCTGGAATTCCCCTGTTTTCTGTGTGTTCCTCTTTATTTACCATCCTGGTTTTTTGAAATACTGGAAGCCAGATTGTGTTCATTTTCATGATGTCCTCCTTTCTGTGGAAATTGTCCACATGATTGTGGATTTCAATGGCTTCTCTATGTAGTCTGAATGATGTCCAGGGTGGGAGAAAGAACTCTTATCTGCTTGAGGCAAGTGTGAATGTTGCAATTGGCTGCCTTGATTAGCATTTAATCGCCTTGCAGCATCAAAGCCTGGCTGCTTCCTGCGTGGGAGAATCCTTTGTTGGGACGTACTAGCTGACTCTGATTGTAGTATTTTGGAGACAAATAATAATTTGGAAAAAAGCACTTTCTGCACAGCGTTTGTGAGAAATTCTGACCACTTTCTTTTTATTGAGATCAATGCATTTTTTCCCTAGTGACAAACTGTGAAAGATGAGCAGTAATAGAAACCAAACATAATCAGTTATGAGCTTTTTTGGGAAAACAATAACCGCACCGGAACCTAATGAAAATCTTATAAAAGAGGCATACAATTGTCTCCCTTCTTCTTGTAAATCTCTCCAACAATGGAACAGAGCTTGGGAAAGATTTTTTGGAGGGTTGCTACACCCCAGAATCCCCCAACCAGCATGGGCGAATGCTGGGAATTGTAGTTCAAAAAGTAACCTTTCCAAGCGCTGAACTTAAGGTGTGTTGCTTTATTAGCACCGGTTCCTTTAGAAAAGAAACTAAACTTGACTCGAAAAATACTGTGAACACAATTCTTCCTTTTCTTCTTTAGAGAAACTTAACATTTAGGAGGAAAAACCCTTTGAGAATCATCCAAAAATAGTCTTTTTTTCTGAGATTATGGAAGGACCTTCCCTCTCCATCCCTGAATAGAACGGGTTCTTCAAAATACGGACACCCTAATGTTTTCATGCTTTCCGAGAGGTTCAGTCTCACAACATTCAGTGGTATTTTACTCCCAAATAAATGTTCATAGAATATCTGTGGAAATAGTGAAGTAACCCAACGAGATTGTTAATAAGGGAATTGCTTTGGGAACGAGCCGAGGAACAAAGGTTTCGTCAATGGAAGCGTTTGGTACATTTTGTTTGTGACTCAGCCATAACTCTGTACAGTACATTAAGTATCAATAACTTGCAAACGGTTAGTGCAAAAACACTTCTTTCCCCCGACTGAAAAGCGACCTCCCCGTATTAAATATACACCAGAAACCCACATTTTGGTTTTGATTGTCATTCTTGGCTCATTAAAAGTCCATTAAAAGTCTCCCACAAAAGCAGATTCCGGAGAAGGCATACGCTCGCTCATTTTCAGAATTTCTGTACATAGCCAAAAATAGTTTAAATTACATATATCTCTCTATGTGTCTTTGTGTCTGTGTCTATGTATATATGTATATATATATTCCAAAAATACCAGCAGCAGTAACAAAATACAAACAACGCAGTTGGCTTTCCTGCTATCGTTCACTTTTATCTCCCTAACTTTGTCACTATACATCCCTGGTTTAAATGAAATGCATTGGATAATGCCCTGCTGCCCTTTCCAGGTCAAATGTACGCCGTATGCTTTAAGTACTAAATATACATATTGCACACAAGTCATTGCCTGTCGACTGCTTCGGTTCAGTGCCTATTGGATGTCCTTCGAAACTTCCATATTAGAGGTAATTCTGTTCTAATACAAGGGAAAGGGCCTATTCACACTATACAATAATAGCATTATTTTCCATTGTAAACAGCTAGGGCTACATTCGATATTTCACTAAATACAAATTCTAGGATTCCACAGGATGTTGCCATGGCAGTTACAGTGGAATCATAGTGCTATAACTTCATAGTGTGTATGGGCTAGAAATGTGAATTGAATTAAGCTTTCTCCAAGTTAGCCATGTGGCAAAGCTGGAGTGTCCCCTATCATTCACTCAGATTATTTATCTGCATCTTACAACTTGGTTCGCTTGTTTGTTTGTTTTTTGAAAGCAATGGATGGATAATCATTATGAAACATGGACAGGGAAATGGAAGGACTGATGGTGAGAACAGCTTGGGAAGAAAGGCAACTGCTGTTTTGTGGTCCTTCAAGCATGAGAGACCATTCTTATCTGATGTCCTCCTTATGTGTGACATGGGAACTGCAGCCCATCATGTCTGGATGGTGCCAGATTGGAGAAGGTTGGAAGATAACACACTTTCATTCCTTTGGAAACATTGTCTCTAGATCTTCATAAAGCTGGAAGAGACCTTGTGGGCCATCATGATGCAGCCCATCATGTCTGGATGGTGGTGCCAGATTGGAGAAGGTGGTGCCAGATTAGAGAAGGTTGGAAGATAACACATTTCCATTTCTTTGGAAACGTCGTCTCTAGATCTTCATAAAGCTGGAAGAGACCTCGTGGGCCATCATGATGCAGCCCATCATGTTTGGATGGTGCCAGATTGGAGAAGGTTGGAAGATAACACACTTTCATTCCTTTGGAAACATTGTCTCTAGATCTTCATAAAGCTGGAAGAGACCTCGTGGGCCATCATGATGCAGCCCATCATGTTTGGATGGTGCAGGATTGGAGAAGGTTGGAAGATAACACATTTTCATTCCTTTGGAAATATTGTCTTTAGATCTTCATAAAGCTGGAAGAGACCTCATGGGGCATCATGATGCAGCCCATTATGTCTGGATGGTGCCAGATTGGAGAAGGTTGGAAGAAAAGACACTTTCATTCCTTTGGAAACAGTCTCTAGATCTTCATAATGCTGGAAGAGACCTCGTGGGCCATCATGATGCAGCCCATCATGTCTGGATGGTGCCAGATTGGAGAAGGTTGGAAGATAACTCTCTTTCATTCCTTTGGAAACATTGCCTCCAGATCTTCATAAAGCTGGAAGAGACCTCGTGGGCCATCATGATGCAGCCCATCATATCTGGATGGTGCCAGATTGGAGAAGGTTGGAAGATAACACATTTTCATTCCTTTGGAAACATTGTCTCTAGATCTTCATAGAGTTGGAAGAGACCTGGTGGGACATCCAGTCCAAGCCCTTGCCAAGAAGCAGGAAAATCACATTCAAAACACCCCCGACAGATGGCCATTCAGCCTCTGTTTAAAAGCCTCCACTGGACTCCAAGGTAGAGAGTTTCACTGTTGAACAGATCTTACAGTCAGGAAGTTCTTCTCAATGTTCAGTTGGAATCTCCTTTCCTGTAGTTTGAAGCCATTGTTCCGTATCTCCCAGGTAACAAAAAAGCTTGCTCCCTCCTCCCTATGACTTCCTCTCACATATTTATACATGGCCTCATCATGTCTCCTCTCAGCCTTCTCTTTTGCAGGCTAAACATGCCCAGCTCTTTAAACTGCTCCTCATAGGGCTTGTTCTCCAGACCCTTGATAATTTTAGTCACCTTTCTTTGGACACATTCCAGTTTATCAACATATCCCTTCAATTGTGGTGCCCAGAATTGGGCACAGTGTGATTCTAGGTGTGGTCTGACCAAGGCAAAATAGAAGGGTAGCAACAATTCCTTGGATCTAGACACTTTATCTAGACACTCCTATTTATGGAGGCCAAAACCCCACTGGCTTTTTTTAGCTGCTGCATGACACTGCTGGCTCATGTTTAACTTGTTGTCCATGAGGACAACTTCCTTCTCCTTGTAAATTAAGACCAAGATAACCAATGCTTTGTTCAAGAGACTCAGTGGTGGTCCTAGTTAGGATCTCATTTTTAATCTATTTGTTTTGATATGAATTATCTTCTGGAAGTTCCCATTTTGGCCTGGTTGCATGACATGTGAAAGTATCTCAAGATGCTTTGACTCCAGTCCCTGTTGAGTAAGAAAGGAATGTTTCTTGCATTCAAAGTGAAAGGACTTGCACCACGAAGTCAGTGGTAGAGATCAACTCCTCAAGCCCTCTATGTTAGTGAAAGTTTTGATGCAGATATCAAAAGATATTAGTGGCACCTCAAACAAATACTTTGGTCAAAATGTCTCACCACTTCCAGGTGATCTCATATAAAAACATAGTTTCTTCTAACACCAGTGTCCCAGAAATGCACACATAGTACTTTATTTGCACCTCAACCTCCCTTCGTATCCTGAAGTCAATTTATATCTTCTTGTGGGACTCATAGCCATTTCAATTCATGTAAACAGGGGTTCTATTTAACAAGGATCCTGGTTTCCCTAAGCCTGAAATAAAACCTAAAGTAGATTCACTACACTTCCAACTTGAAAGCCATGGACTTCCACATAATGCATTGGACCCAATGGGAAATTATAATTAAAATAGACTGACACTGGGGGAAAATGTTAAGAGTTGCTCAAGAGGGATACTAGGTTATGATGATGGGTTTGACAATCTGCATATATCTACTCTCTCTTGGTGGACAGGAAAAGTGATTTAAAGATGGGCTTAAAGCCAACCTTAAAAACTGTGGCATAGATGCCGAAAACTGGGAAGCTCTGGCCCTTGAGCACTCTAACTGGAGGTCAGCTGAGACTAGCAGTGCTGCAGAATTCAAAGAGGCATGAATGGAGGGCAAAAGGGAGAGATGTGTCAAGAGGAAGGTGCATCAAGCCAACCCTGACCGGGACTGTCTTCCACCTGGAAACCGATGTCCTCATTTGCGGGAGAACATGCAGATCAAGAACACGGCTCCACAGCCATCTACGAACCCATCTTTGGGCTACGAGGAATTGCCTAAGTAAGTAAGGATAATTGCAGATTTTGGACACATTCATTTTGTAGCTCCAAGCATCCACCAGCTAAAATGGGTAGGTTCTGGGAGCTGTAATTTTTAAAAATGTAACTTTTCCAAACTCTGTTATTTCCAATGACCACTTTGGGGCAATGAAGCTAGTCAAACATAACCATGATTTGGTAACCTGACTAAAACATCCAAGACTGTACTAAAGAATAATTCTCTTTCCTTACACAGAGAACTGGGAATGTCCATTGTGAACACAGATATAGTGTAAAACAGTGAACCCAAGGCAGCGGTGCATTGATCCGTGCTGTCCCTGAAGTATTGGCTGCTTGTCCACAGGAAAAAAAGAAACAACAAAAGAGGTTTAAAGATGAGCTTAAAACTAACCAAAAACAAACTGAAATCTGGGAATCCCTGGTCCTTGAGCGTTCTAACTGGAGGTCAGCTGTCACCAACAGTACGATGGATTTTGAAGAGGGACAAATAGAGGACGAAAGGGAGAAATGTGGCGAGAGGAAGGTGCCTCAAGCAAAACTTTGTTGGGACCACCTTCCATCTGGAAATATATGTCCTCACTACAAAAGAACATGCAGATCGAGAATAGGTCTTCATAGTCACTTATGGATTCACCACCAAGACTCTATCCTTGGAAGACAATCAAACCTGGCCACAAGGTGGTGGTGATGAACCAAGGTGCTTGTTTATAAAGCTATTGTCCTCCTCACTCTGCTATATGCCCGCGAGACGTGGACTGTCTACAGGTGTCACATGCAACTCCTGGAATGATTCCATCAGTGCTGCCTCCGGAAAATCCTGCAAATCTCTTGGGAAGACAAGCGGATAAATGTCAGTGTGCTGGAAGAAGCAATGACCACCAGCATTGAAGTGATGGTCCTCTGCCATCAACTCCGTTGGACTGGCCATGTTGTCCGAATGCCCGACCACCATCTCCCAAAACACTTGCTCTACTCCTAACTCAAGAATGGGAAACGTAAAATTGGTGGGCAGGAAAAGAGATTTAAAGATGGGCTCAAAGCCAACCTTAAAAACTCTGGCATAGACACTGAGAACTGGGAAGCCCTTGAGCACTCTAACTGGAGGTCAGCTCAGACCAACAGTGCTGCAGAATTTGAAGAGGGTGAAAGGAAGAAATGTGTCAAGAGGAAGGTGCATCAAGCCAACCCTGTCTGGGACCACCTTCGACCTGGAAACTGATGTCCTCACTGCGGGAGAACATGTGGATCAAGAACGCGGCTCCACAGCCACCTACGGACCCGCCGCCAAGACGCTATACTTGGAGGACCATCATCCTCGGGCTACGAGGAATTTCCTAAGTAAGTAAGGATAACTGCAGATCTTGGAAACATTCATTTTGTAGCTCCAAACATCTTCCATGGGTAGATTCTCAGAGTTGTAATTTTTAAAAAGGTAACTTTTCTCACTGCAGGAGAAGATACAGATCAAGAATAGGGCTCCAAAGTAACCTACGGACCCACCGGCAGTACACTGATCCTGGAAGACTGTCCTACTCAGACGATGAGGGATCGCTTAAATAAGTAAGTAAGGTGATGATGATGATGATGATGATGATGTTCTGACTCTGTTGCTCTGATGTAGCATAGCGGTTGCTTTAAGAATTTGCTCTGTTACAGAAAAGAAATACCTGCTAAGAGTAAACATGGATCCTTAACAGTCCTAGTCCATGGGGCTGCACATCTTTGAACGGAGAACACAAACATGAAAAGAAGTGGTGAACATAGCTGGCACCAGTGGTTCATAAAACTGAATAGTTGCTCATGACCAAAACCATGAAGCCCATCAACACACCTAACACCACCATTTTGGTTATCGTGGGACACTTGTGAGCATGCTCATTCATGAGTCACAAGATGGTGAGGGTGAATGTGGCATGGTAGACCCAAGACCACACGCAGCATCTCCATGTGCCCTCAAAAAATACAGTGCTTTGTTAACATGGTTGAAGATCATCAAGTGCTGAGAAGTTGAAATGATGTGGGAACCAGCCCTTCAATTCTAAATTGGTTCCCACCAAGATCTCCCTTTTGTCTTTTGAACATATAGATATATTACACACTTGAAATGGAAATAAACAAGGAACGTGATCCTATGCTAAGTGGGACAAGAACACGACCCTCTTTTCCACAGCGATATTTGGAGGGCGGAAAGGGATCTTGCAGAATGGAGGTATAATAATGCAGCTAAAGATGGTGTTGGACCATTTGTGTGCACGCTACCCAAAATGCCTCAGAACAAAATGGCACAGTTCAATTCCATTAAAAAAAATAGACCAACAAACAACAAATTTCCACAATTTAGAGCGCATCCTAATTGTGACTAACATTACGCAGAAGGCAGTGAAGACTGGTTTTCCTCCTTGGAGCTTAATTCAAGGTGTTTTGTGTGTGTATTTTTTAAGAAAATCATATATTAAAGCTCAGTAGCTTACGTCACAAAGACATTTCTGCTGGACAGAAGCCTAGAGACCGAGTGAGTAGGTGTTTGGAGCACATGAATATTTGTCCACGATCCAAGCATGCGTCTACACTGACCTATTTTTTTTCCTAGACGCACAAACACCACTCTGTGGAAGATATGCTAGAGGGTTATTTTTTAAATCCATCGAGAGGGTTATGAATAATGTCCTCCTCTGTCAGTAATTTAAAAAAGAAGAAGATGCTCCAATGTGCAAGAGATTCTTGCACTACAGCTGTGTCCTTCCATCTTATTCCTGTAGTAAAGTTTCTCTCCAGTTAAAGCCGCCAGTCGGTCCGTGAGTAAGGGGAAGGATCGGGGGGTCCGTCAGTTGCCACAAACCCGTGTCGCCAAGTTCTTCACAGCAACAGAAGCCCAAATATGGAATCTGCAGGGCAAAATAAAAAGGAGAAAGTGAGATAAGAAATACAAGAGAAGTTCCTCAGCCTTTGACCATTCAGCTTCCCAAATCTCTGAGCCCTGGGCAAGCTTCTTGAAGTTGGTGTGAACTCAAAACCAAAGCTGAAAAACCATTCAAGAAATATGCAAATACATACTATTTGAAAAAAAAGTAGGAATGTTTCCAGGGAAGATGAAAACAGTTGTAGTCAATGGACACAAGTATGGCACCAATTCTTTATTATTATTGTTGTTGTTGTTGTTGTTGTTGTTGTTGTTGTATTGTCGAAAGCTTTCATGGCCGGAATCACTGGGTTGTTGTAGGTTTTTTCGGGCTATATGGCCATGTTCTAGAGGCATTCTCTCCTGACGTTTTGCCTGCATCTATGACAAGCATCCTCAGAGGTAGTGAGGTCTGTTGGAACTAGGAAAATGGGTTTATATATCTGTGGAATGACCAGGGTGGGAGAAAGAACTATTGTCTGTTGGAGCTAGGTGTGAATGTTTCAACTGACCACCTTGATTAGCATTTGATGGCCTGGCAGTGCCCAGGGCAATCTTTTGTTGAGAGGTGATTAGATGTCCTTGTTTGTTTCCTCTCTGTTGTTGTGCTGTTGTAATTTTAGAGTTTTAATACTGGTAGCCAGATTTTGTTCATTTTCATGGTTTCCTCCTTTCTGTTGAAATTGTCCACATGCTTGTGGATTTCAATGGCTTCTCTGTGTAGTCTGACATGGTGGTTGTGAGAGTGGTCCAGCATTTCTGTGTTCTCAAATAATATGCTGTGTCCAGGTTGGTTCATTGGATGCTCTGCTATGGTTGACTTCTCTGGTTGAAGTAGTCTGCAGTGCCTTCCATGGTCCTTGATTCATGTTTGGGCAATGCTGTGTTTGGTGGTCCCTATGTAGACTTGTCCACAGCTGCATGGTATACGGTAGACTCCTGCAGAAGTGAGAGGATCCCTCTTGTCCTTTGCTGAATGTAGCATTTGTTGGATTTTCTTGTGGGTCTGTAGATAGTTTGTATGTTGTGTTTCCTCATCAGCTTCCCTATGCGGTCAGTGGTTCCCTTGATGTATGGCAAGAACACTTTTCCTCTGGGTGGATCTTTGTCTTGACTCTCGTGGCTTCTTCTTGGTTGTCTTGCAGCTCTTCTGATGTCTGAGGTGGAGTCTCCATTGGCCTGGAGAGCCCAGTTGAGGTGGTTCAGTTCATCTTGGAGGAGGTGGGGTTCGCAGATTCTTTTTGCACGGTCTGCCAAGGCTTTAATGGTGCTTCTTTTTTGACTTGGGTGATGGTTGGAGTTTTTATGTAGATATCTATCTGTGTGTGTGGGTTTTCTGTAAACGGTGTGACCCAATTGTTGATCTGGTTTACGGATGACTAGGACATCTAGAAAAGGCAGTCTTCCTTCATTTTCTTTTTCCATGGTGAATTGGATGTTTGGGTGGATGCTGTTAAGATGGTCCAGGAACCTGTTTAGTTCTTCTTCTCCATGGCTCCAAATGGTGAAAGTGTCATCCACATATCTGAACCATATCGTGGGCTTGCATGTGTTGATGCTAAAATAATATACATGCAAGATAATCCTCTTAAAGAAACTTTCTCCCCTTCTGCCTTCTAAATCCCCAAAGAGTAGGCTGCAATTATCATGTGCTATTGTTGACAATGCAAAACAGTGGCCCACAATGTTTCATGCACTTTCTGAACAAAGCACGTCTGGATCGCATAATCTTTAGACAAAAGCACACAAAGGCTTCATTTTACTGGTAGATATTTCTTACCTTTCTGACCATCTGTACAAAGTCCTTGGCATTTTGCGGCGACAGTCCTTGCAGCTGGCAGGTACATGCCTCCAGTGAGGAAGCATGAGCCACTATCAAAACGTTCGTCCCTGAAGAAAGAGAACAGATAAAACACAAGATGGTACATGGCACAAACTCTCTGTGGATATGCATTTTGGAGATCTTGGTCAACATCAAGTGATGAAGAAAACCAACCAACAAATCCAGCCTTGGAAGACTTGGAAGACAAATTGGGTTGTTTTTCAAACTTGCCTTTGGCTTTACATTCACTGAGGATCTCTTTCGTTACTTGATAGCTTCTGCTGATGTACGTGTCATACGGCTCCGAAATACCTAATTTGCTTACAGGTATATGAGGTCTGTGGAGGACATACAGATGTAAAGAAAAAGAAAGATTAGAAAAAGGAACTAAATGTATAGAGATAACTAAGGACAACAAGCAAGTCTTGGTATCAGAATTCACTGGATATGTATGCGCCTTCAGGGCGCCACCAACACTGCCCTTTAATGCAGTTTCAAACTGCATTATAGGGTCAGTGTAAACCATGCCTGGTGTAGACTCATCTAATGCACTCAAATGCAGTTAAATTACATTATATGAGCTACACTATTTATTTATTTATTGTATTGTCGAAGGTTTTCATGGCTGGAATCACTGAGTTGTTGTAGGTTTTTCGGGCTATATGGCCATGTTCTAGAAGCATTCTCTCCTGACATTTTGCCTGCAACTATGGCAAGCATCCTCAAAGGTTGTGAGGTCACAACTATTTATTTATTGTATTGCCGAAGGCTTTCATGGTTGGAATCACTGGGTTGTTGTAGGTTTTTCAGGTTATATGGCCATGTTCTAGAAGCATTCTCTCCTGACATTTCGCCTGTATCTATGGCAAGCATCCTCAGAGAACCTCACAATCTCTGAGGATGATTGCCACAGATGCAGGCAAAATGTCAGGAAAGAATGCTTCTAGAACATGGCCATATAGCCCGAAAAAACCTACTAAATCCCTATTATTTATTTATTTATCCTATTTATATCCTGCCTTTCTCTACCCTGAAAGGGACTCAAGGCTGCTTATAACAGAAGCAATTATTCAATGCCTTAAAACACATACAATTTCAAAATCTTAAAAATTAAAAATTAAGTTAAAATGAATTCATATTAGATATTTTAAGACATTCAATTCCATATTAAAATCACTCCATCTATAAATAACACTTTGAAACCAGGAACAGAAAAAGTTTCAAATTTTGTTTGGGATGTATTTATGACCTTTGTGGAGACAACACTGGGGGGGTAGGGTATATCACAACTTTTGCTCTCAACAGATAGATAATAGAGATATGCAGTTATAACACACATATAATATATAACGGATGTTCAAATACAAATTCTGATTGAGGAGGAAGCCATATTATCTTCTCTGCGTAGTTTGGAGGAAATCAGCAATGCCATCAACCAACAACAAAAAATATATATAACAAAGCCAGCGGACCTGATGGGATCCCTGCTGAAATCTTTAAAGAGGGTGGAACTGAGCTGACACAACAACTCCACCAGCTCATTGAAAAGGTGTGGGTGACTGAGAAAATCCCAACAGACTTCAAGGATGCCACCATCATCACCCTCTTCAAAAAGGGGGAAATAACAGATTGCAGAAACTATCAAGGTATCTCCCTTCTAACCTCTGCTGGGAAAATCCTCACAAGAATCCAAGTTTCAAACTGCATCATATGACAGTACAGATTAGACCCAAGCCACCTGTTGACTTGTTATCACAGTAGAAATACAGCTGCTCTTTGTGCCTGTTTGTTTGCCATTTTCTCCTATATATGACCAATGGCGAATCCCAATTACAGTAGTCCCATTGAAGCAATGGGCTTGTCCAAAGTGCTGCATTACCATTCACCAATGTAGTAAATGGATCTACTTTAGCTGGAATTAGCACTTGGACTGTTTTAGATTCTTGTTTCCCCAAATACACAAGAATCAATAACAAAAAGGGGTTAATAGTGTGTCCGCCTTCCTTACCTATACGTTGTGTCAACACTCAGATTGGCTGCAGCTAAATCCATAGGAGGGATCCAAGCAGGCAGGGAACTCCCAGAGACCCATTTTGTCCACTCAAATAAGCCCGGCTCAACTCGAATCTTCAGGCTGTTCTCTTGCTGCAAACCTACAAAGTTGAGAATTAAAATAAGGGCCCATCAATGGAGAAATCCATTCACATCTAAGCAGGGTTCAAGGAGCTGCATTGAATCTAATATTGAGGAACTCATTTAAATCAATCAGATATAGGAAAGCGGGGGGCCAACAATTCTTGATCTTTCATTTAGCTTACTTTAGTTCTGCTTAATACTGGATTTATGCTCAAGAGATGATGCTGAATAGTATATTCAATTTTGAATTGCTTTTTTATTTCTTTAACTACAAATCCAGTCATTTTAATTAACTGTAGTCTTCAGGGATGGAAAGGAGGTAACATAGATGTGATATATATAAATAGTACAACAATGCTTAATAACATTTGCCATTTCTAAGTGTATTTTGAGCCCTTCAATACTTCTCACATACAGTTCAACGGGGACAAATGCAAGATACTCCACTTAGGCAGAAAATACGAAATGCAAAGATACAGAATGGGGGACAATGCCTGGCTCGAGAGCAGTACGTGTGAAAAAGATCTTGGAGTCCTCGTGGACAACAAGTTAAACATGAGCCAACAATGTGATGTGGTGGCAAAAAAAGCCAATGGGATTTTGGCCTGCATCAATAGGAGCATAGTGTCTAGATCTAGGGAAGTCATGCTATCCCTCTATTCTGCTTTGGTTAGACCACACCTGGAATATTGTGTCCAATTCTGGGCACCACAATTCAAGAGAGATGTTGACAAGCTGGAATGTGTCCAGAGGAGGGTGACTAAAATGATCAAGGGTCTGGAGAACAAGCCCTATGAGGAGCGGCTTAAGGAGCTGGGCATGTTTAGCCTGAAGAAGAGAAGGCTGAGAGGAGATATGATAGCCATGTATAAATATGTGAGAGGAAGCCACAGGGAGGAGGGAGCAAGCTTGTTTTCTGCTTCCTTGGAGACTAGGACGCGGAATAATGGCTTCAAACTACAAGAGAGGAGATTCCACCTGAACATGAGGAAGAACTTCCTGACTGTGAGAGCCGTTCAGCAGTGGAACTCTCTGCCCCGGAGTGTGGTGGAGGCTCCTTCTTTGGAAGCTTTTAAACAGAGGCTGGATGGCCATCTGTCAGGGGTGATTTTATTTATTTATTTATTTATTTATTTATTTGCTTTACTTCTATACCGCCTTTCTCAGCCGAAATGGCGACTCAAGGGTTTACACAGTAAAGATTAACACAATAACATCAAAAGGCAATTAAAAACACAGTTATACAAAACATATCAAGTCAAAAACAATCATTATCATAGACGTGCGCCTCAGCAAACAAATCAAAATCAGAATCCGTAATCATAATCCTTTATACCAATTCCTATGTTCAGTTGTACCATCTTACTGTATTTCATTGCACTATTTAGCCAAACGCTTGTTCGTAAAGCCAAGTCTTGACCTTCCTCCGGAATGCCAGCAGTGAAGGGGCCTGTCTGATGTCCACAGGTAGGGCGTTCCACAGCCGAGGGGCCACCACCGAGAAGGCCCTGTCTCTCGTCCCCGCCAACCGCGCCTGCGATGCGGGCGGGACCAAGAGCAGGGCCTCCCCAGACGATCTTAATGTCCTAGTCGGTTCATAGGAGTAGATGCGTTCAGAGAGGTAAGTAGGGCCAGAACCGTTTAGGGCTTGAATGCAATATTCCTGCTTCTTGGTGCAGCGTTGGACTGGATGGCCCATGAGGTCTCTTCCAACTCTTTTATTCTATGATTCTATGATTATTTTGGTTGTTTTCATAGCAAGTCAATTCAGTGTGCAAATTGGTGGTGGTGCTTAGGATGTTTGCCCATCTCTTGCCCAAAAAGCAGCATTTTTTAAATCGTGTCAGAAGTGACTTGAGAAACTTAAGTCGCTTATGGTGTGAGATAATTGGTCATCTGCAGAGATATTGCCCAGAGGACACCCGGATGTGTTACCATCCTGTGGGAGGCATCTCTCATGACCCTGCATGGGAAGCTAGAGCTGACAGACAGGAGCTCACCCCATCTCACGGATCTGAACCACCAACCTTCAGGTCAGCAGTTCAGCTAGCACAAGGGTTTAACCCATTGCACCACCGCAGCTCCTGCATCAGTGATTGCTTAAGTAGAAGCTCTGACCTTATCTTTCCAGCGCAACCAAGAAAAACATTTCACATGCACAAAATATGTGAAACAAAGGGGAACATTTCACATTCGTGCAACTCCAGCCATAGGTTTTGTGTGACCTTTGGGAGAAGTGTTTGTGCACTTCCGCCCCCTTTTCCCATTCAATACTGTTGGCTAATGAAAAGAGACACAATTCCGTTTTATGGAGTCAGAGACCCAGGTGACACTAACAAGTCAAGCCGCTTTACGGAAATTTCCTTACCTTTCAAAATATAGTGTGCCGTCTGTACGCAGCGTAGCGATGGGGAGCAGTAGATGTGGTGGATGACGGTGTTGCTTTCCAGAAGGGCCTCACCTGAATCAAAGCAGACATTCAAAATAAGAGTGTCACGTTTCTCCAAGAAAGAGAGGACTGTCAGTGGTGCACAGCTCAAATGTGCCTTCGCTCTTTGTGTGTCCTGCAGTTCCTTTCCCATCTCTGCTAAAGTTCTCTGCCCCGGAAATAAAGAAATATCTCTTATTTTGGTTTGATTGGATATGGCTCACCCACCAATGTCTTGAGCACTGTCTCAGGACCCATCCATACTGCCATATAATAAATAATAATAATACTTTATTTATATACCACTCCATCTCCCCGAGGTGACTCAGAGCGGTTCCCAGATAATATCACAAAACATACAAAGTAAAAAACAACATAACCATAAGATTAACAAATCAAAATATAAGCATAAAAATTGTCGCCATAACACACATATATTAAAAGTAATCCTGCCTGTTCAAGGCAATTTAAAAATTTAAAAGGCCGAGCCAAGATTTGTGCAAGCCCAAAAATTCTAGGAGGCCCGGGAATTAAGTGCAATGCTATGGCAGGCAACAATAATATTAGGAATGGGTTGGTGGCTGTTCATTCCGGGGCTGGTTAGAGGAAACGATCTGGGTAATTGGTAGGAAGAATAAGGCCGTATTAGACAATGTGTAGGGCTGAGTTAGAACTGGCCATGTTCAAAGGCTTGTTGGAACCACCAGGTCTTCAAGCTCTTACAAAAGGAGGGGAGGGATGGGGCCTGTTTTATTTCCCTTGGAAGGGAATTCCAGAGGTGGAGGGCCACCACCGAGAAGGCCCTCTCTCTCGTCCTCACCAATCGCGCTTGAGACGATAGTGGGACCGAGAGGAGGGGCCCCCCGGAAGATCTTAGAGCTCATGCCGGTTCATAGAAGGAGATGTGATTGCGGAGATAGGCAGGGCCTGCCATGTAGACTCATAAAATGCAGTTCAGTGCTGTTAAACTGCATTATATGAGCCTAGACTAACTATATAATGTAATTTTGAAGTATATTGTATGGTCCTCACTCACTCGCAAAAACTTTTCTGTGGAATTTGGAACTGGAATGTTTTTCTGTGCTTGAAGAAGTCAGGGATTTAGCCTGGAGCATCTTCCACCTAATTTCACATAATTTTTGCCACCTTCTCAGTGCAAAGATTACTGCAGATGGAGACTGCAGATGGAGACTGCAGTCAGAAATTCAGAAGATGTTTACTTCTTGGGAATAGAGCAATGACTAATCTCGATAAAACAGTGAAGAGTAGAGACATCACACAATGAAGATCCGCAGAGTTAAAGCAATGGTTTTCCCCATAGTAAACTATGGATGTGAGAGCTGGACCATAAAGAAGGCTGAGCAAAGGAAGATAGATGCTTTTGAATTGTGGTGCTGGAGGAAAATTCAGAGAGTGACTTGGACCGCAAGAAGATCCAACCAGTCCATATTCCAGGAAAGAATACCCAGAAGGATATTAGAAGCAAATATGAAGTACTTTGGCCACATAATGAGAAGACAGGAATGCTTGGAGAACACAATGATGCTGGGGAAAAAAGAAGGAAAAAGGAAGAGGGACCGACCAAGGGCAAGATGGATGGATGGTATCCTTGAAGTGAACTGGCTTGACTCTGAAGGAGCTGGGGGTGGTGATGGCCAACAGGGAGCTTTGGCATGGGCTGTTCCATGAGGTCACAAAGAGTTGGAAGCGACTGAACGAATAAGTAACAAAACCTTCCACCAAAAAAAGTGCTCTCCATTTTTTTCCTTATAGGAAATAGCTTTTATCTGTGTTTGTTTTCTCTGACGAGCACATAGCTTCTCTGCAGGAATGCAGGTTTACAAGGAAACAACCGTTTCTCCATTTTCATCTGTGAATTTCCAAAATATGTGCAAGTCTTGGCCAGGTATCTTATCCCTCAGTGGCTCCATTTAATAATGCAAAAAGCATTAATTTATTCTAATATGTATTGTTCTCCATCAATTTACTCCTGAGCGAGATGGAGTTCCTTTATATAACTATATTTCTGTGTTGAAATCAGGAAATCTTGCAAATAGGGTAACCATTTCGGTTTTGAAACAAACAAAACACCATTCCCACTCTATTTGTATTGCTACCTTCTTATTATTCTTTACTGAGCTACATTGCCATCACTTGTAATTAACATGTTTGCTCCAGTGCTGTGCCAGTAAATTACAATTTTGATACACAAATATAAGTATCCTGTGATGGGGTAGCAATAGTGGCTAAATGCCTGCAGGTGGCACTCGTGTTGTAAATATTGCATGGTGTCTGTGCCTCCAAGGCCTTTTCTACACAGCCAGATAAACCAGGTTATCAAAGCAGAACAGCCATATTATCTGATTTGGATCAGCTTAGTCTACACTGCCATATAGTCCAGTTCAAAGCAGATAATGTGGATTTTATACAGCTGTGTAGAAGGGGTCCAAGTCTCATAGGGTTCCTTTAGGAATACACAGAAGTGGTTTTTCTTGCTCTTCTTAAATGATGGGGTTGCCAGATTTTGTTGTTGTTTATTCGTTCAGTTGCTTCCAACTCTTTGTGACCTCATGGACCAGAGCACCCTGACACTTTCATCAATTCATCACATGGTCCCCCAGCTCCTTCAGAGTCAAGCCAGTCATTTCAAGGATACCATTGATCCATCTTGCCCTTGGTCAGCCCCTCTTCCTTTTTCCTTCCATTTTCCCCAGCATAATTATCTTCTCTAAGCTTTCCTGTCTTCTCATGATGTGGTCAAAGGACTTCGTCTTTGCCTCTAATATCTTTCCCTCCAGTGAGCAGTCGGACTTTATTTTCTGAAGTATGGACTGGTTGGATCTTCTTGTGGTCCAAGGCATTCTTGGAATTTTCCTCCAACAAACACTACAGTTTCAAAGCATCTCTCTTCCTTCACTCAGCCTTCCTTATGGTCCAGCTCTCTCGCATTCATAGGTAACTATGGGGAATACCATTGCTTTAACTATGCAGATATTTGTTGCGAGTGTGATGTCTCTACTCTTGACTATTTTATCGAGATTGGTCATTGCTCTCCTCCCAAGAAGTAAGCATGTCCTGATTTCCTGGCTGCAGTCTGCATCTGCAGTCATCTTCACACCTAGAAATACAAAGTCTGTCACTGCCTCCATGTTTTCTCCCTCTATTTGGCAGTTATCAATCAGTCCGGTTGCCAGAATCTTGTTTATGTTTAACTGCAACCCAGCTTTTGCACTTTCCTCTTTCACCTTGATTAGAAGGCTCCTCAGCTATTCTCACTTTCGGCCATCAAAGTGATGTCATCTGCATATCTAAGGTTGTTAATGTTTCTTTCAGCAATTTCAACAAAGCCAGCAGACCTGATGGGATCCCTTGTATTCGTCAAGCCCGCACATCACATGATGTGTTCTGCATACAAGTTTAATAGGTTGGGTGAAAGTATACAACCCTGCTGTACGCCTTTCCCAATCTTGAACCAGTCTGTTGTTCCATAGTTAGTTCTTACTGTTGCTACTTGGTCATTATACAGATTCCTCAGGAGAGAGACAAGGTGGCTTGGTATCCCAATACCACCGCTTAGAAATGGAGATGAGCACCATTTCGGACTTGACTAGACTTAATGTCAGCAGAAACCTTTACCTTTACCTTTTACAGAACGTATCTTGTTCATAACTTGGAGACTACCTGTATACTATACTGTTCTTGTTTAATGTGAAAGGAACCCTTAGAAACTATATTGTCTCACTATCTTTCCTGGTGGCTTTTGTTTTCTACAATATGTGCTCAGCTCAGCATGTCACAGCAGCCGCAACACAGATTTGCAGCCAAATGTTTTTTCACTGCTGAACCCTGCAGTATGTGCAAATGGAGAGCGCAGCGGAAGCAATCTGCTCCAAACCCACCATGACGACTGATGAGTCTCTTCTCGCAAAGGGACTGGCACAAATGGCATTGCGGAAGGGCGGCGGTGCCACCCGCTGAACCTTGGAAGCCAAAAAAGTCAATGCTGATTGTGTGCAAATCAGAGCACCCTGACACTTTAATCAATTCATCACATGGTCTCCCAGCAATCGAAGACGTGGCATCTACTTCCCACAATGCTGCTGTTGCTAAATAAGTCAGGCACTACGCACTAAAGCACGTTACATTTTTAATGGATGATATTTCCCCATCTCCCTGGTCTCTCTTCCTTGAGTATCTGGGCCGGAGCCAATGCAAGAAATCTGTGCCTTACCAGCTGATCACAAACAGTAATGGAAGATCACAGTTTGAAGTGTGTAGGAGGGAGGCAGGAAGGGATGTTTTTGAAAAATTCCTCCAGCTCAGATTGATGTCTGAGCCTGAAAGGAGGAAAGCTCAAAGTGTATCTACACTGAAGGTTGACCCCACTTCAAGTTGCCATGGCTCAATGTACAGCATCCTATGAGTTGTAGTTTGGGGAGGTTCCAGACTTTTTGGCAGAGAAGGCTGGGAATGCATATATGCATATCAAGTCATGCTCCAAGTTGTCCCTATGGGCAAGACTAACTATAGTGAAGAAAGCTATTTTAGGCTTGGAATAGCTTTTTTTTAATCCCAGGAAGTGACTTTAGGTCATTCCCTGTTTTGTAAAGAAAGCCTGTTTCAAGCTTAAAAGAAGTCTGTCCTCAACAGCCTTTAAACAGGCAACTATTGATACATTTGTTGTTATTGTTTCTATTGTTTTTATATTGTTTATATTATATGTTAGTGTTTTAATTATTTATATGGTATTGTAGGCATTGAATTTAGCCATTTGTATATAGCCCTGAGTTGCCTCCGGGCTGAGAAAGGCGGTATATAAATATGATAAATAAATAAAATAAATAAATACATTTACATGATGTCGTAACAGTGTGGGATATCTGCAAATTCTTTAAGAAAATTTGGATGGGGTTACACTCCCCTGAAGATGCAGGTTAGCAGTTTGGGTGTGATCCTGGACTCATCGCTGAGCCTAGAACCCCAGGTCTTGGTGGTGACCAGGAGAACATTTGCACAGTTAAAGCCCGTACCTTGGGAAGTCTGACTTGGCTATGGTAGTCTACACTCTGGTTACATCCCGTATAGACTACTGCAACGTGCTCTACATCGGGTTGCCCTTGAAGACTGTTCAGAAGCTTCAACTGGTCCATAGATGCAAGCGAAACATTGTTAATGGAAGCAGCGCTCAGGGAGCACACAACTCCTCTCTTGCGCCAGCTCCACGGGCTGCCAGTTTGCTACCGGGCACAATTCAAAGTGCTCTAAACAGTTCCAGCCCAGCCTACCTGTCCAAATGTATCTCTCCCTATGAACCAGCTAGGAATTTAAGATCTTCTGGGGAGGCCCTGTTCTCAATCTGGCTTTTGTCGCAGGTGCGCCTGGTGGGGATGAGAGACAGGACCTTCTCAGTGGTGGCTCCTCGGCTATGGAACTCCTTTCCCAGAGATATTAGATCAGCCCCCTCCCTACTGACATTCCAAAAAAAAAATTTAAACCTAGCTTTTTGAACAAGCCTTCAAAAATGCAGTGTAATGGGTATATATGGAACCCAGGAAAGAATGAACATGGAACAGCTTGACAATGTCTTTGAAAAATGAGCTAATAGGAAGTTACTGGTGTTTTATGGAAATGGTAAATAACTAAATAACTAAATAAATAAGAGATTGGGAGAGGAGCCATGTGGTCTACCACCATCCACATCCACCCCATTGCTATTCTAGATCTGAGGCCAGAATCACTTCTCAGAGAGTGAGACATAGCAAGCCTTTTCGGTAGCTTGAAGCAAACAACAGGATACTTTCTCAACTTCTTCAAAAAAGTTATCAATGAGCTGTTTTGACTTGCCTTCCAGTTACCGCTGTCTATTGTAAGCATAGAAATATTTACCCAAGTCCTAATTCTTCTGCTGGCTGGGCAATGGGCGTCCATCCATGCAGGGAGCAAAGGGAACTCAAAGGCAAGGCTTTCCAAGAAGTTAAGCAATGAGTTTTGCATGGGAAGATGATTCATGGGAGAGCAATCCCCAACCGTCCCTGGCTTACCGACCAGCCTTGCTTGCGTGCATCCAAACACGGTGATAGGGGCGTCCTTTTCATAATCCCTGAATCCGCCACTTCGTTGAGGTAGGCTGTGGGGCATGTTCAAGTTTGTGCGCACATACCGTCCTGCCAGGAAACACAAGGGAGCAAAGAGATCAGACAGCTCTTAACCAATACAACCCCTTGAGTATCCATGAGATGGACTTTCTGAGACCTTGGAAGGGTGCCAGAGGTTTTCCAGAGTTAGGGGCGGCTCAACCCATTACACAAAGTAAGCATTTGCAGTATAGTTGATTTTGCCCAGAGGCGCTCTTGAGGCGCTCTTGGGGGAAAATAGACCTTGACATATGCGAGTTGTAGTTACTGGGATGTATAGTTCACCTACAATCAAAGAGCATTCTGAACTCCACCAATGATGGAATTGAACCAAATATGGCACACAGAACTCCCACGACGAACAGAAAATATATATCAATGATTGGTTTGGGGGGGGGGGGTACTGTTTGCTTACCATTGAAAACTACCTAGGGCCACCTCTGTAGAGTCGAGCTGTAATTTTGCAACCATTATAACTTGTTTTGTTAGCTATGTATGCTGTGGAAAGCAGCTCTGGGATTTACTCTGAATGGTAAAAGAACAACTCCAAGATGATGCAAATAAAGTCCAGCACCTTGGACACCTGATCTGGAGTTCAGAAATATTTCCCCAATTCCTAATTCTACTGCCAGCTGGTTGCCAGAGCAGTTTTTAGATCTGCAAGCTACCACTCCAGGTTCTGACCTTATAAACAGTTTTTGAGATTAGCTGCCTACTTCCAAACCAGGCATGGACACATTTATTTATTTACAGCATTTATATTCTGCCTTTCCTATCCCGAAGGGGACTCAGAACAGGTCGCAGAACACATACACGGTAAACATTCAATGCTGTTAAACAGACAGGACAGTTGTTAAACTTTGGCCCTCCAGATGTTTTTGGACTTCAGCTTCCATGATTCCTAACAGCTGGCTGTTAGGAATTGTGGAGTGGAAGTCCAAAACACCTGGAGGAGGACCAATGATTTTAGGATGGGAAAATCATAGAATCAAAGAGTTGGAAGAGACCTCATGGGCCATCCAGTCCAGCCCCTGCCAAGAAGCAGGAAAATTGCATTCAAGCACACTTGACAGATGGCCATCCAGCCTCTGTTTAAAAGCTTCCAAAGAAGGAGCCTCCACCACACTCCAGGGCAGAAAGTTCCACTGCTGAACGGCTCTCACAGTCAGGAAGTTCTTCCTCATGTTCAGATGGAATCTCCTTTCTTGTAGTTTGAAGCCCTTGTTCCATTGCATCTTAGTCTCCAGGGCAGCCGAAAACAAACTTGCTCCCTCCTCCCTGTGGCTTCCTCTCACATATTTATACATGGCCATCATGTCTCCTCTCAGCCTTCTCTTCTTCAGGCTAAACATGCCCAGGTTTTAAGCCACTCCTCATAGGGCTTATTCTCCAGATGATTTTAGTAATGAGATGCTGAGGACTTGTGTTTTATGGCTTTTATTGTTTCTACTGCTTTTATATGGTCTATATTATATGTTAATGTTTTGCATTATATTTTATGTTGTTGGTGGCATTGATTACTGATTGTAAACCGCCTCAAGTTGCCTTCAGGCTGAGAGAGGCAATATATAAATATGGTAAATAAATAAAGTTTGCCCATGCCTAGCCTAGAGCATTCACCATGCCACTGACCTATTGTTGTGGTTGTTAGTCCACTTTCCTATTTTAATAAAGACACAAAGACACTATCCTACCTCCCCCCAACACTTGCATGTACATCATTTATATACAGTGTGATACAAGAGACAATAACAACCCAGATGATTGCTATTGGGTATGTCAAAGTAAAATAAAATAAAATAAGCATTCATTTATTGCATATATTAGTGCCCCCTAGTTCCAACTATTGAGAAATAATTCACTAATGGAAAAGGTGAAAATCTAACCTAGATCATTCATTCGAAGGGGCACAAAATAGATCTGTGTGTGTGGAATGAGAGAGAGAGCTAATGGGGCAGATGCCATGGGAAGATGGAGTAGCAGCTTCCATATCAGTGGGGCAATGAGTCCATTCCAGGCCATAGTTCTGGACTTTAAGGGAGTTCTTCATGGTCCTGAAGCCTATCTCCCAAAGACCTTAGCAACTCGGATCAGTCCTTTAAAGTTTATGACAAAACCTGGATCAGATTCATCAACCCATTGAAACTGGGAGCAGGAAGGGTTACTGGGGAAATATGGTCAACACTTCAACCACTACACCTTGGCAGACTCACCTTTGGCATCAAAACACTGTGAGAGCCAGTATTTTCCAAACACGACGTCCATCCGTTCTCCGTGGCGGCAAACGAAAAGGCATCTTTTCTGAGGCCCTGGTGGGTTAGTAATCCTTAAAGGCTGCACAAAAGAAGGTAATATGTTGGTACAGTAACAACAACTAGTTTGTCTAGCCAGTCTGAGAAACAGGTACAGGATGAGTATCCTAATTTGAAATACTTGGTACCAGAATTGGTTTGGATTTCAGATTTATTTGGATTTTGGACTAACTGCTTATCTTCTATATAAATAAAAATGTCATGTTCGTTTGTGGGATTAACAGAACTCAAAAACCACTGGATGAATTGACACCAAATTTGGACACAAGACACCTACTAGGGAGACCTCTAATTCAGCCTAGGGATCGTGGAACAACATTAGTAATTCCAAATCGGTCTCCTGATATGGTAAGTTGGTGTAACCAGGATGGCGGTCCCTCCGGATTGAAAGTGGTGCTGTTGAACGCCAGATCTGTCAACGGAAAAACGACCTTTATCCAGGATTTAATCCTGGATGAGCGGGCAGATCTGGCGTGCACTACGGAGACCTGGCTGGATGAAGCTGGGGGTGTGAATCTGACCCAGCTTTGTCCTCCAGGCTTCTCTGTACAGCACCAACCGAGATCCGGAGGGCGGGGAGGCGGGGTTGCAGTGGTCTATAGAGATTCCATTCTTCTGACCAGGGCCCCCATCCCGCAGTCAACAAAATTTGAATGCGTCCACCTGAGGGTGGGTGACCGGGACAGATTAGGGATTCTGTTAGTGTACCGTCCACCTCGCTGCACTACAGACTCCCTGACTGAGAGGAGTTGTCCATCTCTCTGTTGCCATGGACCGACCACCACCTGGTCAGTTTTAGACTCACTGCACCCCCTAACCTCTGCAGAGGTGGAGGACCCATTAAGTTGGTCCGCCCCAGGAGGCTTATGGATCCTGATGGATTCCTGATGGCTCTTGGGGAGTTTCCCGCCACTTCGGTTGGTGATCCTGTTGATGCCCTGGTCGCTCTCTGGAATGGGGAGATGGCTAGGGCAATAGACACGATCGCTCCAGAACGTCCCCTCTCAAGTAGCCGAGCTAAACCAGCTCCTTGGTTCACTGAGGAGCTGGCAGCGTTGAAGCGAAAGAAGAGGGAACTAGAGAGCGTGTGGCGTTCAGATCCGAGCGAGCCAAATCGAACACGGTTTGTGTCCTTTCTAAGGGCATATGCCGCGGCAATAAAAGCCGCAAAGAAGACTTTCTTTGCGGCCACTATTGCGTCTGCAAAGAACCGTCCGGCTGAACTGTTTCGAGTTGTCAAAGGCCTTTTAAATCCCACCACGCAGGATGGGAGCCCTGATGACTCGGCAGCTCGCTGTGAAGCTTTTGCTCAGTTCTTTGCAGACAAAGTTGCTTTGATCCGCTCTGGTCTGGACGCCATATTAACGGCAATCTCTGAGGATGTAACACGAGCATCTGCTTGTCCAATTTTGATGGATTCATTTCAATTGGTGAAACCCGAGGATGTGGACAAGATACTTGGAGGAATGAGAGCCCACATGCATCCTAGACCCCTGCCCATCCTGGCTTCTAAAGGAGGCCAGAGGGGGATTGGCTGAGTGGGTGAAGGTAGTGGTTAATGCCTCCCTTCGGGAAGGCAAAATTCCAGCCAGCTTAAAACAAGCTGTCATAAAACCGCTGTTGAAAAAACCATCACTGGACCCCACTCAATTCGTCAACTATCGGCCTGTTTCCAATCTCCCCTTCTTGGGCAAAGTCCTGGAACGTGTGGTGGCCTCACAACTCCAGGCATTCTTGGTAGACACGGATTATCTGGATCCGGCACAGTCTGGCTTTAGGCCGGGGCATGGTACTGAGACAGCTTTGGTCGCCTTAGTGGATGATCTGCGCCGGGAGCTCGACAGGGGGAGTGTGTCCCTGTTGGTGCTGCTGGACCTCTCAGCGGCCTTCGATACCGTCGACCACGGTATCCTTCTGGAACGCCTCACGGGGATGGGTCTTGGAGGTACTGTTTTACAGTGGCTCCGGTCATTCCTGGAGGGCCGATCCCAGAAGGTGTTATTGGGGGACACCTGTTCAACCCCACAACCTTTGTCTTGTGGGGTTCCTCAGGGCTCAATACTGTCTCCCATGTTGTTTAACATATACATGAAGCCGCTGGGAGATCATCCGGAGTTTCGGGGTACGGTGTCATCTGTACGCGGATGATGTCCAACTCTGTCACTTCTTTCCACCTGCTACTAAGGAGGCTGTCCAGGTCCTGAACTGGTGCTTGGCCGCTGTGACGGTCTGGATGAGGGCGAACAAATTGAAATTGAATCCAGACAAGACAGAGGTACTCCTGGTCAGTCGCAAGGCCGAACAGGGTATAGGGTTACAGCCTGTGTTGGATGGGGTCGCACTCCCCCTGAAGACGCAGGTTCGCAGTTTGGGTGTGATCCTGGACTCATCGCTGAGCCTGGAACCCCAGGTTTCGGCGGTGACCAGGGGAGCATTCGCACAGTTAAAGCTCGTGCGCCAACTGCGCCCATACCTTGGGAAGTCTGACTTGGCCACGGTAGTCCACGCTCTGGTTACATCCCGTTTAGACTACTGCAACGCTCTCTATGTGGGGTTGCCTTTGAAGACGGCTCGGAAGCTCCAACTAGTCCAACGTTCGGCAGCCATGATACTAACAGGAGCGGAGCGCAGGGAGCATACCACTCCTCTGCTGCGCCAGCTCCACTGGCTGCCGATCTGCTACCGGGCTCAATTCAAAGTGCTGGCGTTGGCCTTTAAAGCCCTAAACGGTTCTGGCCCAAGCTACCTATCCGAACGTATCTCTGCCTATCAGCCCGCCAGGACCCTAAGATCTTCTGGGGAGGCCCTGCTCTCTATCCCGCCTGCTTCACAGGTGCTGCTGGCGGGGACGAGAGACAGGGCCTTTTCTGTGGTGGCCCTCGGCTGTGGAACGCCCTTCCCATGGAGGTAAGATCAGCCCCCTCGCTAATGGTGTTCCGTAGAAGATTAAAAACTTGGATGTTTGAACAGGCATTTGGTTAATCAGTGCAATGAATGTGACGATTACAGGAATTGAAATATGGACGACGAATTTGGATCACGACTCTAGTTATGAGATGCATTGGGTTGTTACTGTTGTGTAATATTGTATACTGTGCTCTTTTGTTTTAAATTGTATATTGTTGATTGATTTTATCCTTGTTGTAAACCGCGTTGAGTCGCCGGTTAGGCTGAGAAACTGCGGTATACAAGTAAAGTAAATAATAAAAATAAATACTAATCCAAGGATGTCCTTCACTCAAAAACAATTGATTTTGTCATTTGGGAGTTGTCGTTGCTGGGATTTATAGTTCACCTACAATCAAAGAGCATTCTGAACTCCACCAATAATGAAATTGGGCCAAACTTAGCACAAAGGACTCCCATGACCAACAGAAAACACCAGAAGGGTTTGGTTGGCATTGACCTTGAGTTTGGGAGTTGTAGTTCACCTACATCCAGAGAGCACTGTGGACTCAAACAATGATGGATCTGGACCAAACTTGGCACAAATATTTCATATGCCCAAATATGAACATAGATGGAGTTTGGGGCAAATAGACCTTGACATTTGGGAGTTGTAGTTACTTGGATTTAAAGTTCACCTACAATCACAGAGCATTCTGAACCCCACTAACAATAGAATTGGGGCAAACTTCCCACACAGAACATTGATGACCAACAGAAAATTACAAATATTAGAAACCAACACTTTCTCATTACTTTGTTTTCCAGATCACCAGACTGGGCCATAGCAATGCGTGGCAGGGGACGGCTAGTACATAATAAGACATCTTGGAGATGGGACCCATGTCTAAACATGAAAAACATTGAAGTGTCATATACCCCTATACATATCTTGAAACTAATTTTATTCATAATATTTGTAATAATATAGTATCTCCAACACTCATAGAGACAATTCAAAGTTTGGAGCATTTTGGATCTCCAGATAAGGGATAATCGACGTATATACAAAAATTCACAGGATTTACCTGCATACTCTGACAAAAAATAGTTAGTGGTCCAGTATCTCCTGGTCCCTGATCTTCTTGTAGCCTTCGATCCATCACACCGTCGGCGAACATCAGAAGGGAAGAGGAAGACGAAGGGTTCAGAATAGAGTATGACCTGTATGGCAAGCACCACACACAAAGATATGGTTGAATTGTGCATCCATACACATTTTATTTAAGGATGTACAACCCACTTTTGTTCTACTGCATACCCGTGGAACACCCAAGTGCCACACTCGTCTGCTTTGGTGATGTAGTTTTCAGGTAGCAATCCTGAGCATCCAGTTGCAAAGGAGGTCCCATAAATCCAGCCTTCGCTGGTGGTGATTTGCTCCACGGGAGACATGAAGATGAAGTCCCCAGGCACAAGCTCCAGCTCGTCATCGTTCTGCGGCACATATGGGTAGATCACCTGCAGGGTCTGCAGAAGAAGAGAGAAGGAAGTGGTAGGGAGAAACCTTCAGCCAAAATCAAAAACAGGGGAATTCCTGACATGAAACAATCAGGGCCAACTAACACCTCTTTGAAGCTTTGAAGTTGCCAGGCCATTCAATGCTAAGCAAGGTGGTCAACTGCAACATTCACACCTGCCTCAAGCAGAAAAGAGTTCTTTCTCCCACCCTGGGCATTCCACAGATATATAACCTCACTTGCCTAGATTCCAACAGACCTCATAACATCTGAGGATGCCTGCCATGGATGTGGGTGAAACATCCGGAGAGAATGCTTCTGGAACATGGCCAGACGACCCGGAAAACTCATAGCAACCCAGATTAAAAGTATATTCCTAAACACTTATTAAAACAACATGCTGGTGGAGAATACCACCTGAGAAAAGATGGGATTCATGTGTGCCCATCTTGAATTGCAATTTCCAGATGTTCCAGCCAAGCGTAAAGAATGCCAGGAGTTATTCTTTGACATCAATTCTTGTAATTGTAATTAATTATATTGTAATTCTTGTTTGGGCTTGGCCCCATGTAAGCCGCTCCAAGTCCCCTTTGGGGAGATGGTGGCAGGGTATAAATAAAGATTATTATTATCATCATCATCATCATCATCATCATCATCATCATCATCATCATCTCCTTTTCCTGATCTGAGCAGAGACACTCTCACTTCTTTCAAAATTTAAGAACCATTTTTCCAAATAGCGTCGTTAAAATGAATCTACAGTGTTCCCTCACTTGTCATGGGTGTTACATTCCAAGGCCACCCGCGAAAAAAGAAAATCCACTAAGTAGGGATGCTATATATGTATATCGAGTTCCAAGGGTGAGGCAGAAGTGAGGGGAGATTTAAAGGAACCATGCACCTTTTTTTGCTAACTATCTCTACTTTGCTTTGGAATCTCTCTTGATTGGCTGCCTGTCTTCCGAGGGGGAGGGTGAAACCACCTTCTACATGCCATCATTGCCAGGTGGCGGGATTAGAATTGCTCTGGGCAATGGCAACCATTCATAAACTGGGAGGCAAAAACCTGTGAAACAGCGAGTCCGTGAAAAGTGAACCGTGAAGTAGTGAGGGAACACTGTATATAAATAAAAATGTAATGTTTGTTTGTGGGATTAACATAACTCAAAAACCACTAGACGAATTGACACCAAATTTGGACACAATCAGGCAAACGAGTGACCATCTATATAAATAAAAATGTAATGTTAGTTTGTGGGATTAACTCGATTCAAAAACCACTGGGTGAATTGACACCAAATTGGGACACAATACACCTATCAGGCCAACAAGTGACCATCACTCATAAAAACACCGAAAAACACAGTGGAAGAGACTTTAAAAACAAAAAAAAATTACAATGCATGTGCCTAACTACATAAATACACATATACACATATATATATACACACAAAACACAAATACACAGACTGGGCCACAGCAATGTGTGGCAGGAAATGGCTAGTCACTCATAAAAACACTGAAAAACACAGCGGAAGAGACTTAAAAAGCCAAAAAATAAAAATAAAAAATACATTACAATGCATGCACAAAACACATATATACACAAATACACATACACACATATACACATATATATACACACAAAACACACATACACAGACTGGGCCACAGCAATGCATGGCAGTGGACAGCTAGTATATAAATAAAAATGTAATGTTTGTTTGTGGGATTAACATAACTCAAAAACCACTGGACGAATTGACACCAAATTTGGACACAATACACCTATCAGGCAAACAAGTGAATATCACTCATAAAAACACTGAAAACACAGCAGAAGTTACTTAAAAAGCTAAAAAAATACATTACAACACATGTGCAAAACCACATATACTCACACACACATATATACACACACAAAACACATATACACAGACTGGGCCACAGCAATGCATGGCAGGGGACGGCTAGTGTCAAAATAAAATCCCAATGCAATAAAACCATAGTTTAAAAAGAAATACAAGAATAAAAGTACATCTTAACAAACAGCCTCTGCTGAAGGTATTATTAAAGAAGTTTTTTAATGCTCCTCTGCTACTCTTTCTCCACGTCCTCTGTCTAAGGGACTACAATGTCTCATCGCATTCAGATACTCTAAAATATTCATGTACCTAGGCTATTTATAGCCAAGATCTTACACTAGGATTATGCAACATAAATCTCTCCACATAATATTAGGCATTGCAGTAGGGTTAGGGGGCAGGACGCCTGTGAAAGTGCAAAAACAACAAACAGAGAAACACTGCTGTATTTTTCAAGCACATCCCCAAGAATATCTACTAGGTCTTCCAGCACAACTCTATGGCCAACTTCCAGCAGAAGTTGAACTACAGTAGAGTCTCGCTTATCCAACCTTCGCTCATCCAACGTTCTGTATTATCCAACGCAGTCTGCTTCTCACCCAGATCCAGAGCTGTTTCAATACATTGCGATGTTTTGGTGCTAAATTTGTAAATATAGTAATTAGTACATAACGTTACCGTGTATTGGACTGCCTTTTCTTTCAATTTGTTATATAACATGATGTTTTGGTGCTTAATTTGTAAAACCATAACGTAATTTGATGTTTAATTGGCTTTTCCTTAATCCCTTCTTACTATCCAGTATTCTTCCTTTTCCAACATTCTGTTGGCCTGTTTATGTTGGATAAGCGAGACTCTACTGCAGGGGTCCTCAAACTAAGGCCCAGGGGCCGGATGTGGCCCTCCAAGGTCATTTACCCGGCCCTTGCTCAGGGTCAACCTAAGTCTGAAACAACTTGAAAGAACACAACAACAACAACAACAACAACAACAACAACAATCCTATTGTCGAAGGCTTTCATGGCCGGAATCACTGGGTTGCTGTAGGTTTTTTCGGGCTATATGGCCATGGTCTAGAGGCATTCTAGAACATGGCCATATAGCCCGAAAAAACCTACAACAACGCAACAACAATCCTATCTCATCAGCCCACACTTCTCATTGAAATACTAATGTTTATATTTGTTAAAATTGTTCTTCACTTTAATTATTGTATTGTTTTTAAGTCTCTTTTGCACTACAAATAAGATATGTGCAGCGTGCATAGGAATTCATGTTTTTTTCGAATTATAATCCGGCCCTCCAACAGTTTGAGGGACTGTGACCTGGCCCTCTGTTTAAAATGTTTGAGGACCCCTGCTCTACTGTATATGCGGTTGTAGTGCATCAAACAACAATGTGTGTTAATTTCCATAAGGGAGCCTACACATGTCTATGGCACCAGCAGAATTCTGATCTGAATATTCAAGCAGATACTATAGCATGCAATTCTTCATTTGAAACCTAACCTCACAATCCCTTGCCATATATTTGGCCTAAGAGGTGGCTTTGTTCTTAGCACAAGAGTTTCGATTTCTGCCTTGAGCCCTGAACTTACCTCGTGGTTAGCAAATCGAATATCGCGAGAGAATATTGTTGCCACCCAGTCGCAGCCCAGCTTAACATCGATGCTCTGAGCGAGCTTCTCGAGCGTGGGCAAGTGGCTCGCTTGGAAGTGGTAAGCCAGCGTCACATGGAGCTGCTTCTTATGGGGTTCCACGTGGACATCTGCAAGTGGGAAATATGTGGTCATAACAATAACAATAACAATTTATTTATATTCTGCGCTACCTCCCCGAAGGGACTCAGGGTGGATCCCAATCACAAAAAAGGCCTGAACATCACATCCAGATCAGCTTCCAGTTCTCACCAGGTTCAGCCGGTTATTTTGGTAAGTTATCAATCAGGACATGAACATCTTTATTAATGACTTAGATGAAGGGTTAGAAGGCATGATCAAGTTTGCAGATGACACCAAATTGGGAAGGAGAGCTAATGCCCCAGAAGACAGGAGCAGAATTCAAAACAATATTAACAGATCAGAGGGATGGGCCAAAACTAACAAAATGAACAGCCATGTTTTCAGGCTCCTCCTAAAGACTGCCAATGTGGGGGCTTGTCTGATATCCTTGGGGAGTGAGTTCCAGAGTTGAGGGGCAACCATGGAGAAGATTTAACTATGGGCTCAAAGCCAACCTTAAAATCTCTGGCATAGACACTGAGAACTGGGAAGCCCTGGCCCTTGAGCGCTCCAGCTGGAGGTCAGCTGTGACCAGCAGTGCTGTAGAATTTGAAGAGGCATGCATAGAGGGCGAAAGAGAGAAATGTGAGACCGCCTTCCACCTGGAAACCAATGCCCTCACTGCAGGAGAACATGCAGGTCAAGAATAGGGTTCCTAAGGACCCACCAGTACACTGATTTTGGAGGACTGTCCTACTCGGACAACGAGGGATTGCCTCAGTAGTAAGTAAGTAAGTAAGTAAGTAAGTAAGTAAGTAAGGTCCCTAAACAGATAAGTGGAAGAAGCCTGCACTGGCTATTTGAAATTGCAGGAAAAAAATTAAAGGAAAGGTCCTTTTCAGCGCTCCTTACTGGAGATTGAACCTAGTGCTTACTTGCATATAAATTCCACGGCTGAATATGGAAAGCAAAATCCAGTGGGAGGACTAAACAGTCACACGTCTGATGGGGCAATCCACCGTAGTCCTTAAAAATTCATTCCAAAGAGCAGGGAAACCTTCTGGAACAGATTTTTGACATCGTGATGGGCTAAGAGCCAGTGGGTGGGTGGTGGAAATCCCAAGGCTACCCCAATATAAATGTGGATCTAGCTGACTGCTTCTACCATCCGCTGACAAATACAATAAGCCTTTCAAAGTTTCAGGAGGTCATTCATCTCTTGGATTGCAGGCATATTATTCAAATGTACAGTTAAGTGTAAAAGGTGGAGGAAGAGGGAGGAGGAGGAGGAGGAAGCCCAGAAAAAAGAGGGTCGGAGGCGGAAATCAGAATTATGATTGCCAAGTGTGTGGAATGAATAGCAAACCGTATGTATGCCGGATGATGTCACTAAACTGTTTGTTTGTCGGCGTCTTGAGTTTGGAAGTGGGGGCAGAAAATGCCAGAAGAAGAAAGCAAAAAATAAAATAAAAATGCACTCACCCACATGCATACAGAGAAACAGGCCTGCTAGAAAAGGAGAAAGTGCTGCCAAAATGTCAGGTTCTTTTCTCAGGAGAGAATGAATCACAAGAAGGATTTGAGTCAATGAGAATGGAAGAGGCTATTAGCATTTGAGTCAATGAGAATGGAAGAGGCTATGCATGGCACTGTGGGAGGGATCTTTCTTAGTTCAAAAAAGAGGAGCAAAATCAGGTCTGCAGAGCTTTATAAAGTCTGTCTTTTCTGGATGGTAGTCCAGTTCTGATAGTCTGCATTTCAGGAAAACTTCCAAAGCATTGGAAAACAGAAAGTACCCTGTAGTACATATACACAGAATGAAATGGCAAGACCCAGTTGTTGTTGCTGCTGCTGTTATTTGTTTATTGTCCTTTGTGAGGACCCTACAATAAGGTTCTTTTGGCATGATAAATTCAGAGAAGTGGGTTGCTGTGAGTTTTCTGGGCTAAACGGTTCAGGATCTCACTACCTCTGAGGATGCTTGCTGTTCTGGTACGGCTGTACCAAGAGCTCCAACTTCCTTTTCTTTCTTTGAGTGTTTGCATGTATTCCAAAGTTCCATGCATTTTGCAATAAGGTGGCTTCCTTTGGTTTGCAATTATAGGGCCAATGACCCATCAATCATCGTTAAGTTTTGGTTCCGCCCCTTTCCCTAGGGCTCTGGGAGTGAAAAGAAAGACTTCAGGCAGTCTTACAGTTGTGGAAGCCCAGTTACAGGACGTGAGCTTTCCCCACCTGTAGAGAAGCTTCGTTTTTCACAACATCCGGGGGAAACAGCCCTAAAGCTTCTAAGGAAAACAGTTTGACAGCACAACCCTTGTTGGGGTTAAAGAAACAGCTCTCCATCATTCGTGGAAAAAATCCAAAGGACTCCAGCTGGAGAATCTACAAAGCCTTGACTGGTAGGTCTACTCGGGGCCCATGAAGCAGTTTGGAGCTGGGAGTAGGGCCCACACCAGCAAAGTTTAGAAAGTAGATTTCCCAAGGAGGGGTTAAAAAGGGTTTTCCTCTTAAAGAAAAGAAACAGTTCACGAAGCCAGTTGCCTGTCCTTTGTGGGCAAGATAAAAAGCATTTGTTTGACTTGTTGAAGATCTAAAAAGTATTTGATTGTTTGTTGAAGATCTAAGCAATAAGAAAGAACTTTGTTAAACTTTTTAAGCTCCTAAAGACTTTTGTATAGGAAAATCTTTAGAGCCTCTCAGCTGAGGCACCCTGGAAGGATACGCAAGCACATTTACATTTTTTTTGTCGTGTCAGGAGCAACCTGAGAAACTGCAAATCGCTTCTGGTGTGAGAGAATTGGCCGTCTGCAAGGACGTTGTCCAGGGGACGCCCGGATGATTTGATGTTTTATCATCCTTGTGGGAGGCTTCTCTCATGTCCCCGCATGAGAAGCTGGAGCTGATAGAGGGAGCTTATCCGCCTCTCCCCGGATTCGAACCTGTGACCTGTCGGTCTTCAGTCCTGCCGGCACAGGGGTTGAACCCACTGCGCCACCGGGGGCTCCACATTTACATTGAAGAAGGTTAGAATAATGATTGAATCAGAGTTGGACAGTCTTATCGTAAATTACAGTTTTATGTAAATATTCAAAAACATTTAACCTATGGATGCCTCGTTTAATGTAATTTTATTAGTATCTATTTTTATTTTGAAATTTACCAGTAGCTGCTGCATTTCCCATCCTCATTTTATACTCAAATCAATATGTTTTCCCACTTTTTTATGGTAAAACTAGGTGTTTGGCTTATATTTGGGTCAGCTTACACTCGAGTATATACGGTAATTATTTTGTACTAAAATGTAGTGTGAAATATGCAGAACTCTCATAATCTTGTCTGGCAGAGTGAAAACTTCCAGAAACACTTTACTCCTACATGCAGAAATGTTGCCCATCCTTCCTTGAAGGACTTACTTCTTATGCAAAATAACAGGAGAACATGGAATGGCCATTAAACCTATCACATGCCAAGCCTTGTCTACTCACCAGCTTTGGAAGAGGCTTCTGCAGCAAAGTCTGCTGCAAACTTTTTGAGGATTTCTGCGCTCTCCTCCTTGACGAAGAGCCCAATGAAGTTGGAAGATGTATAGAGCTCCAAGGGCAAAGGGGTGGGCAACTTGCACCTCCACCGGGTCACAGTAGCGTGCAGAGCTTCGCAGAGGGTGTCGACTTTGCTGTCTTCACACTGCAAGAGGATGTGGTTAGGTTACTAGGGTGGGAAATCTCAAGGGTTGGGGGCTACATTGGGATCCTCCAAGGACCGACAATGATTGCATCTGCCTCTGTTTGTTTTTTTTAAAGGCCAACTCTGGGTCTATACCAGATCAGGATCCTCAAACTATGTTGGTTGTGTGACAAGCACTGGAACTGTGGCACAACTAGCTGGGAGTCAGCTGCATTAAGATCACTACTGACTGAAAGGTCATGAGTTCGAAGCCAGCCTGGGTCGGGGTGAGCTTTCGACCATTCTGTGTAGCTCGCTGTTGACCTTTGCAGCCTGAAAGACAGTTGCATCTGTCAAGTATGAAATTTAGGTACCGTTTTTGCGGGGAAGCTAATTTAACTAATTTACAATGCCATAAAACTCTCCAGCAGTATGCAAAAGAATTAGGAAGTACTCCATTGGTGTAACAAGCAGGCTTGGTTGACACAACGCTCTAGACCCTACACACTAGATTTGGAGAAAATCATCTTTTTTTGAACTACAGTTCCCAAGACTTTCCAATCTTCATCACTGGCATGGGTAGTGGCTGGCTGAGGATTCTGGGACTGAAAATGCAAAATAGAAGTTTCCAAACTATATGTCCCGACATGCTAGTGTGTCAGCAGCAGTGTGTAAGTGTGTTGTGCAAATGTAACAAGAAATCTCTGAGTTAAATGAGTAAAATGTCATATGTATTAAAAAATATAAATGAAAGGTGTCCATGAGATATGTTGAGTCCATATACATTTCATTATTACAATGTATGGATATAGCCGTATCTCTTAGAAAGGGTTGGTTTAAGCTCGGTTTGCTAGTGAAATTGGATTACTGTGTTGAGAAATGATACATGTCTTAAAGATGTGTCATCAATGGCAAATGTTTGGAAAGCTCTGATCCAAAACAATCATTTTATCAGTTTGCATTGTACATACAGCTTCCCATCACACATAAGGTTTACTAGTAAAACTGGATTACTGTGTTGCAAAATGATACATGTCTAAAAAGTGTATCACAAACAGCATATGTTTGGAAAGCTCTGATTCAAAGCAATTATTTTACCAACTTGCATTGTACATGCAGCTTCCCATCACACACAAAGTTTGTTAGTAACACTGGATTACTGTGTTGCAAAATGATACATGTCTAAATGGCATGTCACCATAAGCAAATGTTTGGAAAGCTCTGATCCAAAACAATCATTTTATCAATTTGCATTTTACATGCAGCTTCCCATCACACACAAGGCTTGCTAGTAACACTGGATTACTGTGTTGCAAAATGATACATGTCTAAAAGGTGTGTCATAAATGGCGAATGTTTGGAAAACTCTGATCCAAAACAATCCTTTTACCAATTTGCATTGTACATGTAGCTTCCCAACACACACAGGGTTTGCTAGTAACACTGGATTACTGTGTTGCAAAATGATACATGTCTAAAAGGCATGTCACCATAAGCAAATGTTTGGAAGGCTCTGATCCAAAACAATCCTTTTACCAATTTGCATTGTACATTTAGCTTCCTATCACACACAAGGTTTGCTAGTAAAACTGGATTACTATGTTGCAAAATGAGACAAGCCTAAAAGGCGTGTCACCAACAGCATATGTTTGGAAAGCTCTGATTCAAAGCAATCATGTTACCAATTTGCATTATACACACAGCTTCCCATCACATGCCAGGTACGCCTAAGGCATTGCCTGGGTGCCAGGAAAAACAAATGGGCATAGAAGGGGCCCATAACTTACCATGAAGAACTGGCAGAGTGTGATGTGGGGGAAGATGTTGTGCGCTTTGTTCTTCCCGCACAGCTGCTTGGAGTGCTGCCAGAAGTCGGAGAGCTTCTGTGCCAAGGGGCCCGTGGGGCGCAGGTAGAGGACGTACTCCCGAGGCAGAGGGTCATCCAGGAAAGGGTCACAGACGTGGGAAAACAGCCTGGGAGCCAAAACAGAGGCAATGGGGTGGGTGCTCCACATGGTGTTACTGCAGTGATTATTATATGATCAATTGTGCCATGGAAACAAAGAAAACTTCATGTAATCAAGACTGATTTTTTTAGGCAGAAGAATGATTGTTCCGTTTTCAGTTCTGATGAGCAAATTGGGAACATTAGAATTTTAAAATCAAACAGAGGCAACTGAAAAACAGCCCACAAATTTTTGCCAACCCTTTCACAGCTTTGCTTCATTGCATATCGTCCTCCTGCCCAACTTGCTTTTTACATTTCTATGTTGTAATATGTGACCAAATGAAATCTGTATTGGAACCAGTAGTGAAATCTGTCCAATAACCATGTTTACGGCACAACATATTGTTGCCTCTATCACAAGTGAGGTTGGCGGGGACGAGGAGCAGGGCCTTCTCGGTGGTGGCCCCCCACCTGTGGAATTCGCTCCCCGGGGAAATTAGATCAGTGACATCACTCCTTTCCTTCAGGAAAAAACTGAAAACATGGATTTGGGACCAGGCATTCGGACAATCGTGCAGATAAAGAAAGGACTTTGAGAATGGCCAGGAAATGACTAATGGAATGGAATTTGGAACTCTGAAAGACGAATGCTGAGCATGTGAATAGTTTTTATATGATGTGATGTATATTGATTGTTATGATTGTTTTAACTGTGATAATTGTTTTAACTATGGTTTTTGTACACTATGTATAATTTTTGTATAGGCATCGAATTGTGCCTTTTGTAAGCCAACCTGAGTCCCCCCTCGGGGGTTGAGAAGGGCGGGGTAAAAGTACCCGAAATAAATAAATAAAATTGCGTTTCATCCCTGCACTGCACAAGTCTCATGTGTCATCAAGTCTCGAGTCCTCAATGAGTAGCTAGACTAGAAATAAGATTAGAGTGAGGGATCTCCCTCCCTTCACACACACACTCCTATGCATTTTTTCTTTCCCAGAAAGGGCTTTGTTTTTACTCTTTCTCTTTGCCACTATCTCCTCCCCCTTTGAAGATGTAGCAATGGAATGTCTGTGAGGTCACTTCCTTTTTAAAGATATTTTTATTGCCTTGGGCTTGGCCATGCGGCCATCCTCCATTGTCCTTTCTGCCTTTTACTTCCTTCCAATGAAGGCGCATTTTGCCTCTCTCTCTAGGCAAAATGTAGTTGCATGGATAGTTTGACTTTTTATCCTTTTAACTTTCTTAGAAGACGAGATTTAATAAGCTAATTAGCTCCAAGACTTTTTCTATCTAGAATGTATTTCTTTTACTTCAATTAATATTTTTGAACCTAAAGTTCTGACTCTGCAATCCTGTGCCATCTTAAGAATAGAAGCTTATCCCAGCTTCAACACATATAAGTTTCTGATGGGTATGAAGTGTACTTCTGATACTCTCTATATTTATGGTGGAATAACCTCAACTGAGGGTTATTTTTGAGTCTAACAGCTCAGATTCCCCTACACATTTTTTATCGGGTTTTACAAACTCAGCACCCCCAAATACATCCAAAGAGCTACAATACTGGAAAAAGTGTTTTGACTGCAATATGTTTTCTCTGGTGGGTCATAGGGATTTAGTAAAAATAATAGCCCAAGTAGATGCTTAGCTGAGGACTTGTAGAGGGTCTTCTGAAATTACACCGAGGACCATATAAGAATGGGCAGAAGGCACAAGTTTCCCACTAGTTTCAGGACCAACTATTAATTAAGAAAAATAGTCTTTTAGCACTTGAACAGGAGAAATTCTTATAGAGTGAATGAATCTTGTAAGAGATGGAATACAGCTGATGTATTGGGGCAGCCAGGGGCTTCCATACACCACGTATGGAACGCATTCAGTTTGGGACCTCATCTACATTGCCATATAATTCAATAAATGGTATTAAACTGCATTATATAAGTCTACACTGACCTTATTGGACCATGGTCTTAGATGGGCCATGATCTTAAAGTAAAGGAGTTGTCCAAGGTACTGAAATGTGTCCCTTGAATAGAATCATATAAAATAGTTGGAAGAGTCTGCATGGGTCATACAGCCCAACGCCCTGCCTTGCAGGAAAGGCACAATCAAAGCACCCATCATAGATGGCCATCTAGCCTCTGTTTAAAGGTAAAGGTATCCTCTGACATTAAGTCTAGTCGTGTCCGACTCTGAATGGTGGTGCTCATCTCCCTTTCTAAGCCAAAGAGCTGGTGTTGTGCGTAGACACCTCCAAGGTCATGTGGCCAGCATGACTGCATGGAGCATCATTACCTTCCTGCTGAAGTGGTACCTATTGATCTACTCACATTTGCATGTTTTTGAACTGTTAGGTTGGCAGAAGCTGGGCTGAACAACAGGAGCTCGCCTTGCAAAGGACTCTTGTCTGCTGGAGCTAGGTGTGAATGTTTCAACTGACCACCTTGATTAGCATTTGATAGCCTGGCAGTGCCTGGAGAAATCTTCTTGAAAGGTGATTAGATGTCCCTGCCTGTTTTTCTCTCTGCTGTTTTGCTGTTGCAATTTTAGAATTTTTTAATACTGGTAGCCAGATATTGTTCATTTTCATGGTTTCCTCCTTTCTGTTGAAATTGTCCACATGCTTGTGGATTTCAATGGCTTCTCTGTGTAGTCTGACATGGTGGTTGTTCGAGTGGTCCAGCATTTCTGTGTTCTCAAATATATGCTATGTCCAGGCACTGCCAGGCTATCAAATGCTAATCAAGGTGGTCAGTTGAAACATTCACACCTAGCTCCAGCAGACAAGGGTTCTTTGTCCCACCCTGGTCATTATTCCACAGGTATATAAACCCTATTTCCTAGTTTCCAACAGACCTCACTACCTCTGAGGATGCTTGCCATAGATGCAGGCGAAACGTCAGGAGAGAATGCCTCGCGAACATGGCCATATAGCCTGAAAAAAACTACAACAATCCTTTTAAATTTGTTTTCATCCCTGGAGTGAAGTCCCGATTCCACAGATAGGTAAATCAGTAGCCACCTCTGTCCGATATACTCAGAAAGCGATATGTGTTGAGAGTATTGTGTGTGACAAATACTATCTCTATCTATGTGTATTTAATAATTTGGATCATCTCGTATCAGGGCATTCCGGGATTTGGACTAAAAAAACACATAAACTGTCCCCAAAGCTTGGTTCATAGTGAAGACACGGACATATTTCCCATCAGGTGACAACACAGAGAGATGAAATACGTGCTTTACAGGATATTAATTCCTACCAACCAGTCACATGCTGCTTGGACACTTCGACCTCCGGTTGACGCCAGGGCTTTCTGCCTGCGGGGAAGAGGAAACCCAAGGTTAGTGCTCTTATGCTCACTAGGTGGCACTGCATGCATTGGATAGCAATATGGGTCAGGGCTGCTAATTGGTGGAATATACATTTCAAAAAAACCAAATGAGAAGTCTGTTATTATATTTCTTTCCTACTTCTCGAATTCTCCTATGGTATCTTCTTCCTTCTTCTTCTTCTTCCATTGGACTGCCATATTTACATCTAAAGCAGCTCACGTTGGTGCAGATCAATGTCTCGGATCAATGACTAGACCAGATTTGAATATTATACTGCTGCTCTTGTAAAGCAGTGGTTCTCTACCTTCCTAATGCTGCGACCCCTGAATACAGTTCCTCATGTTGTGGTGACCCCCAACCATAACATTATTTTTGTTGCTACTTCATAACTATATTTTTGCTAGAGTTTTGAATCATAATGTAAAAATCTGATATGCAGGATGTATTTTCATTCATTGGACCAAATTTGGCACAAATACCCGATACACCCAAATCTGAATACTGGTGGGGTTGCAGAGTATTGATTTTGTCATTTGGGAGTTGTAGTTGCTGGGATTTATAGTTCACCTACAATCAAGGAGCATTCTGAACTCCACCATTCTGAACTCCACCATTGACCTTGAGTTTTGGAGTTGTAGTTCACCTACATCCAAAGAGCACTGTGGACTCAAACAATGATGGACCCAGACCAAACTTGGCACAAATCCTCAATATGCCCAAATGCGAACACTGGTGGGGTTTGGGGAAAATAGGCCTTGACATTTGGGAGTTGTACTTGCTGGGAATTATAGTTCACCTACAATCAAAGAGCATTCTGAACTCCACCAATGATGGAATTGGGCCAAACTTGACACACAGAACTCCCACGACCAACAGAAAACACCTGGAAGGATTTGGTGACCATTGACCTTGAGTTTTGGACTTGTAGTTCACCTACATCCAGAGAGCACTGTGGACTCAAACAATGATGGACCCAGACCAAACTTGGCACAAATGCTCAATATGCCCGAATGTGAATACTGGTGGGGTTTGGGGAAAATAGGTCTCGACATTTGGATATTGTTGTTGCTGGGAATTATAGTTCACCTACAATTAAAGAGCATTCTGAACCTCACCGATATCATTGGGCCAAACTTCCCACACAGAACCCCCACGATGAAGAGAAAATACTATGTTTTCTGATGGTCTTTGGCGACCCTTTTGACACCCCCTCGTGACACCCCCAAGGGTACAGTGTTTCTCCCCAAGTTGAGAAACACTGTTGTAAAGCTTTAGCATCACATGGTCTCATGTCTAATTTGTATTTTATGCCATACAGTAAAGCTGAAGATAAAACACAACACTATATAGATGGTATAGGCAAATTTTGGCCCTCCAGGTGTCTTGGACTTCAACTCCCACAATTCCTAACAGCCTCAAGCGGCTGAGGAGGAAAAGGAAGGGGCCTGAGGCTGTTAGGAATTGTGGGAGTTGAAGTCCAAAACATCCGGAGGGCCAAAGTTTGCCCATGCTTCCTATATACCAAAATACCCTCAACAAAGACCAACATCAACACCAATAAAATGCAATCCAGAGCAATGCTATGATAACTTTTGGAGAAAGTTGTTCATTTCAATAGGGTTTCCTATTACCCGTGGTTTCCTGTTTCCAGGGTAAGTTCAGGAACATATGCACCACAGAGAGGGGGATTGCACTACTAAAATACCATAACAATCACACAAATCCTATATTCCCAGCTCACCCAACCCCAAAAGCTGAGACAATTTTGCTTATCATTTGGGGAAAAGGGATTTCTGTGCCTGACGGGGAAAGAGTAGGTTGGAGGGAGATGAGAAACGACGACAATCTCCGTGGAAACAACATGACTTGAGATCTGTGGTCTTAAGTAAATAACCACCCCCTTTGGGAGGCCCTGGACTTCGGTCTCTCTTTCTCTTTCTTTATCCTGCCCTCCAGCCCCCTCATTCTTCTGGAAAATCCATGTTTGCGCCACGGCAAGCAGGTCACAGATTAGTGCTACAAAATGTAGTCTCAATGCAACCATGTTTTGCTGGTCGTACATTCATAACTCCAAAAAAAGTAAAGGTTTTGAGTGGGAGGGTCAATGGGGAAAAGCACAGGAAAGGAGTTAGAGGGAGAGCCATTAAGTAGCCAGTTCTTGTCTTCCAGATGCTAGCTTTGTGAAAACGAACAACCTTTGTTTTGTTTCAGTGTTTCAGAATCATTTTATTGGTCTTGTCCGAAGCCCTGCTTGGCCATGGAAAACCACTGGGTGACTTTGGGTGGGTCACAAGATCTCCATATAGGACCAAACTATGGGTATACTTAACAAAGTGGATGTATTTCTGGGCATTGTTTGATACCAGGGATGGAATTCACATGGAACAAATATAAATTCTTAAAATGTCGTTGTTGTCACTTCCAATTTAGGGCAACCCAATGACAACCCTCTTGTTGTGTGCTTTAAGGTGAGTCTAACATGGAGTTTACTTGGCTAGGTCCTTTGCAGAGGTCTGTTTTAGCTTTCTTCTGAGGCTGAGAGAGTGTGACTCACCCAAAGTCACCCAGTGGTTTTCCATGGCCAAGCAGGGCTTCGAACCCTGATCTCCAATGTCTTGTTGTTGTTTATTCGTTCAGTCGCTTCCGACTCTTTGTGACTTCATGAATCAGCACACGCCAGAGCTCCCTGTCAGCCGTCACCACCTCCAGCTCCTTCAAGGTCAAGCCAATCACTTCAAGGATACCATCCATCCATCTTGCCCTTGGTCGGCCCCTCTTCCTTTTTCCTTCCATTTTTCCCCAGCATAATTGTCCAGTGTCAACAATGGATCTCTTTCTATACTGTACCACTAAAATATAAAGGTAAAGGTAAAGATTTCCCCTTGACATTAAGTCTAGTTGAGTCCGACTGGGGGTGGTGCTCATCTCCATTTCTAAGTTGGAGAGCCGGTGTTGTCCATAGACACCTCCAAGGTCAAGTGACCAGCATAACTGCATGGAGTGCCATTACCTTCCCACAGAAGCAGTACCTATTGATCTACTCACATTTGCGTGTTTTCAAACTGCTAGGTTGGCAGGAGCTGGGCCTAACAGTGGGAACTCACCCCACTCCCCAGATTCGAACTGCCGACGTTTTGGTCAGTAGGTTCCGCAGTTCGGAGGTTTAACCCACTACGCCACCAGTAGCAGTAGCACTACACTGCTACTCCCCCAAAAATATGTTCAGGAGTAATAACTATATATTTCCTTAATTAAAGAAATAATCTCTTGAGTGACCTTGAGCCAGTCACTCCCATAGTTGGTTGGCTATGGAAATAAGATGGACATAGAGAAGACTGTCCTGAATATTGTGGATAATGGTGACCAAATCAAAGCAAAATAACAGAGATTGTAAATTGGATCATGACACTGGGGCCAGAAAGTTAATCTTCTACTTTGGTATGCGTCCGCTCTAAATGACATTTCCTAATACAGGCATCTATCTATCTGTCTGTCTGTCTGTCTGTCTGTCCGTCCGTCCGTCTATCCACCCATCCATCCATCCATCCATCTGCCCACACATCTCTGTCTGTCTGTCTGTCTGTCTGTCCATCCATCCATCCATCCATCTGCCCACACATCTCTGTCTGTCTATCCATCCATCCATCCATCCATCCATCCATCCATCCATCCATCCATCCATCCATCCATCCATCCATCCCTCCACCTATCTATCGCTCTATTTAACTAGCTAAGTCAAAGTATATATGCATGTTTGGCTGTCTGTTTGTACCACAAAAGCTCCTGCTAGGTGAAGTGGCCCACTGGGATGTCACTGGATTGGCTGTTGCTAGGTGAAGTGGCCCCCTATGATGTCACTGGGGGGAAAAGATGACATTGTAGGAGAGGAAGAAAGGAAAGAAAGAATCAATAAGAGAGCCATGCTGCCATGGAGATATTGTGAGAGATGGAGAAGGGAGAAAGAAGACAAGCAGCACCCCCCCCCCCCCACCAACACCCACACAATGCTGGATATATATTCTAGTTCAATATATATTTCAAATACTTAGAAGGTGACCTTGTTCAATGGACTTCATCTTTATCCCCCCGCTCCTTTCTGAATCTCCTGCAAAGGTGGGAGACAAAGGGACCCCTCTGTGCAGTGCAAACATGCATACACAAACCCATATTGTACCCATCTCTGCAGCACAACAGCCCTCGCTACACAGACGGAGCAAATTAATGGTATATGTGCAATTACCCAGTTCCATATGTATACAGTCTGCTATGCTTCCGAGGTTCAGCTAAATCCTCTGGGAGTTTGCATCAGTTAAATGTCTTCCAAATGTCAAGGGAGAGGCAGGAGGAGGAAACAATTCCAAGGTTCTGCATGAATGAGCTCACAAAGATCAGGGTGCAACGACTATATACAGCAAGGCTTCCGTATCCATGAGGGACACCTTCCTGAAGTTATGTGAGGTTCCCTATAGGGCCGATTCCCATTAAATTACCTGTGAAGTCAATTGAAACAGTGCTAGGGATGCAGACCTTTGCTCGTTGTTCTTGTTGTCCTTGTTCTTGCATTCAAGGACCAGAGATTTCAAAACTTCTTTTGCGCAGAAATAAACCCATTTGGTATCGGTTGCACTCTTCTCAGCTCAAAACCCAATGAATACTTTGCAATAAATAAATACAAACATGAAAAATCACAGGTATGGCTGTTTTCTACATGGGGTTGCCTTTGAAGACGGCCCGGAAACTCCAAATGGTCCACTGTGCAGCAGCCAGGTTACTAACAGGAGCGGCGCTCGGGAAGCATACAACTCCTCTGCTGAACCAGCTCCACTGGCTGCCAGTTTGCTACTGGGGTCAATTCAAAGTGCTGGCTTTAGCCTATAAAGCCCTAAACGGTTTCGGCCCAGCTTATCTATCCGAACGCATTTCTTCCTATGAACCCTCCAGGAATTTAAGATCGTCCGAGGAGGCCCTGCTCTCGATCCCGCCTG